ATATGCATCTGTTGGTCACAGATACCTTAAAATTAAAAGGTAGGGGCGTGAATCAGAAAACCTGTCAGTATCTGGTGTGACCACCATCTGCCTCATGCAGCGCGACAGAGTTGATCAGGCTGTTGATTGTGGCCTGTGGAATGTTGTCCCACTCCTCTTCAATGGCTTTGCGAAGTTGCTGGATATTGGCGGGAAATGGAACACGCTGTCGATCCAGAGCATCCCAAACATCCTCAATGGGTGACATATCTGGTGAGTATGCAGGCCATGGAAGAACTGGGACATTTTCAGCTTCCAGGAATTGTGAATTGTGTACAGATCCTTGCGACATGGGGCCGTGCATTATCATGCTGAAACATGAGGTGAATGGCGGCGGATGAATGGCATGACAATAGGCCTCAGGATCTCGCCACGGTATCTCTGTGCATTCAAATTGCCATCGATAAAATGCAATTGTGTTCATTGTCCGTAGCTTATGCCTGCCCATACCATAACTCCACCACCACCATGGGGCACTCTGTTCACAACGTTGACATCAGCAAACCGCTTGCCCACACGACGCCATACACGTGGTCTGCGGTTGTGAGGCCGGTTGGACGTACTGCCAAATTCTCTAAAACAACGTTGGAGGTGGCTTGAACATTCAATTCTCTGGCAACAGCTCTGGTGGACATTCCTGCAGTCAGCATGCCAATTGCACGCTCCCTCAAAACTTGAGATATCTGTGGCATTGTGTTGTGTGACAAAACTGTCACACCAGTCAGGTGGATGGATTATCTTGGCAAAGGAGAAATGCTCACTAACAGGAATGTAAACAATTAGCTTTTTGAAATTAGCTTTTTGTGCGTATGGAAAATGTCTGGGATCTTTTATTTCATCTTATGAAACATGGGACCAACACTTTACATGTTGCATTTATTTTTTGTTCAGAGCTACCTGGACTATCTGCATTGACCATTTCTGCACTAAATTTTTTGACTCATCACATATGCTGCTGCTACTGTTAATTATCTATCCTGTTGCCTAGTCATTTTAGTCCTAGTTATACTGTATGTACATATCTATCTCAATTACCTCGTACCCCTGCACATTGACTCGGTACTGGTACCCCGTGTATAGCCAAGTTATCGTTACTTATTATTACGTGTTATTACTTTTCTATTATTTCTCTACTTTCTTTCTCTCTGCATTGTTGGGAAGGGCCTGTAAGTATTTCACCGTTAGTCTATACCTGTTGCTTACGAATCATGTGATGTATAACATTTGATTTTAATATTTGATTTGATTCCGTACTCTGTAGAAATGTACTTTAAAATAAGCAAAAGTCACCCCAGATAAGCATTTACACAGTAAATCTGGATCACACATGCATATATACAAGTCAAGACGTAGTCCCCTGTAGCTCAGTTGGTAGAGCATGGCGCTTGCAACGCCAGGGTTGTGGGTTCGTTTCCCACGGGGGGCCAGTATGAAAATGTATGCACTCACTAACTGTAAGTCGCTCTGGATAAGAGCGTCTGCTAAATGACTAAAATGTAAATTAGGCCCATTTGAAATAGATGCTTTTTGACAATTGTTCTGCCAAATAGTAAATTGATCAGGAAAGTAAGGTAAAACTGGCCTAGTTACAAAATGTAGTCTACAGAAAAGTTGTAAATAATTACATTAATTGAGTGAAATGCCATGAAATATACATAAAGGCTCTCCCTGCTGCTGTATTTTGGTAAACATAAATTATTGAGCAATCACGTCTTACCTTATTGCAACACATTTGCCAGACATACGCAGGCCTGCAAATTTAGTGAAATATTCAGGCAAAATAAATCCGGTTTTAGAGGGCCACCATTGTGTCACCAACAACGGATATTGGCACAATGGCATTCTTGTTCACGGTGCAACCTTATTGGTCGGGAGAAAGGTTGCAGTCAATCAGGGTCGTGACGGAGAGAAAAGCTCTATGTATAAAGGCTCTAAATCCACTGGGACCACCAAGACTTACACTTCAGAAGTGATCTGAAGCCACTAGGCTGCCAGCTCTAGGAAGAGACTTGGTGGTTCCAAACTTCTTCCATTTAAGAATGATGGATGCCACTGTGTTCTTGGGGACCTTCAATGCTGCAGAAATGGTTTGGTACCCTTCCCCAGATTTGCGCCTCGACATAATCCTGTCTCGGAGCTCGAGGAACAATTCCTTCGACCTCATGGCTTGGTTTTTGCTCTTACATGGACTGTCAACTGTGGGACCTTATATAGACAGGTGTGTGCCTTTCCAAATCATGTCCAATCAATTGAATTTACCACAGGTGGACTCCAATCAAGTTGTAGAAACATCTCAAGGATGATCAATGGAAACAGGATACACCTGAGCTCAATTTCGAGTCTCATAGCAAAGGGTCTGAATACTTATGTAAATAAGGCATTTCAGTTTTCTATTTTTAATACATTTTTAAAAATCTCTAAAAACCTGTTTTCACTTTGTCATTATGGGGTATTGTGTGTAGATTGATGAGAGATTGTTTTTATTTAATCCATAAGGCTGTAACGTAACAACATTTGGAAAAAGTCAAGAGGTCTGAATACTTTCCGAATGCACTGTACATTTTCTCCCTCTTGCACTCTATTGCAGATGTATAGTCAAACCAGTGTAAACTCTACTGGCCAAGACATTTATCTCCTACAAACACAATGATAAACAATAAATATAAAGGTAGGAGATATACAAACATCCAGTGGTGTAAAGTACTACTTAAGTCGTTTTTTGGGGTATCTGTACTTTACTTTACTATTTATATTGTTGACTACTTTTACTTCACTACATTCCTAAAGAAAAGAATGTACTTTTTACTCCATACATTTTCCCTGACACCCAAAAGTACTTGTTACATTTTGAAAATGGTCCGACGCACGCACTTATCAAGAGAACATCCCTGGTCATCCCTACTGCCTCTGATCTGGCGGACTCAATAAGGACAAATGCTTCGTTTGTAAATGATGTCTGAGTGTTGGAGTGTGCCCTTGGCTCTCCGTAAATTATAAAAACAAGAAAAGGGTGCCGTCTGGTTTGCTTAATATAATGGGATTTGAAATTATTTATACTTTTACTTTTACTTTTGATACTGAAGTATATTTGTGCAATTACATTTACTTTTGGTACTTAAGTATATTTAAAACCAACTACTTTTTGACTTTTACTCAAGTAGTATTTTACTGGGTGACTTACACTTTTACTTGAGTCATTTTATATTAAGGTATCTTTACTTTTACTCAAGTATGACAATTGGGTACTTTTTCCACCACTGCAAACATCAATACAGAAAATGGTATCATTATAATATAAACAAAACCTTTAACGGAAATAATTCACCGCAGCAGCAGCTACTTCGCTACAAACATATATAAAAAAGCGACAAACAAAAAAGGAAATCATAGTGTCTGTAAAACCAGCCAGAACATATTTTTGCGCAATGATCTTTTGACTGTGGGAGAAGACTGAAAATACAGGTAAGTAAGCTAAGTACTTAAGGGAAGAAATTCCCCTATTCATAATGTATCCCCTTCACTCAGTCACTTTCACACAAAAACCCACACTAGGATCAAGACCAGCTAAACAAAGCAGAGACTCACACTACTGAATCACACAATCATGAATATATATTCAGCTATTCAGCTTTACTTTAATGTGAGACGTGACCAATGGTAGCATTGATACCATTATCAATATCAATCATAACTTCTGTGCTGCGAAAATAATAAATAATATTGAAAAGTGCAAGGTTATAGGTATATATATATAATGCTTCCGTTATTGTCCTATAAGTAAAGTGCAAATCTCGGGATCAGATTAATGTGTGTGCAAGCATTCCTAACTTTTAGACTGATCCTCCAGCACATGCACAAATGAGCCCTTTACATTGGATGACAGCTATGTTAATCCTGTTAAAAGTGAAACATATTAACCTTACACAGGGTGACTGACATACAGCTCATCCACTTATTTAGGCCATTTGGAGTGGCAGTGGAGCTTTTTAAAATGGTAAATCTGAATGACAAAACAAAAGCTAATGCATGTAGTAGTACATGTATTTCTCCATTAAACATAGTCTAGTAAAGGATGGACTTTGGGTGATTTCTGCACTGTGTATGTGCATACTATAGTTATTTTGTTGTAATCCTAAAGAAGACTATGCTCTGTAACTTATTTTACTTTGCAACTGTAACACTAAAACAGGGTAAACTTTAGTCCATAGAGAGATTCCTATTTTTACGCCACCATGCCGGCTTTCCTGTGGCTTTTTTACCCTTACTAAGCCATATTCAGGGTGCAGGATTTGGAGACTTTAGAAGACAGATGAGTCATGTTATCGTGTTGCCAGCTGTGTCTTTTAAAGGAATCTGATAGGATACCTCCTGGTGGCCAAATTCAGACTACAGAGAATTATCCAATCCCATTCCCAGCTACTAATCATGGTGAACAATTGGCTGGGATGGGATACTACTGAGACCTGCTCAAGTGGAAATGCAGTGAGCCATCACTACGGTAAAAGCCCCCTCACCATCCTTCCCACCATAACATCACCAACCCAGGCCTACTGTATTCAACAGCTGGCTCAGGAACCCAGTCCACCACAGACACACAAACACATTTTGCATGCATGTCCTCCTATGTAGACAGTTGTCTAATGTTTGCCTTCCTTCAGTCAGACCATGACTGTTCAGTTCAGAGCCAGTTCCAGGTGATGGGTCCAAGTCTTTTCATTGTTAATCACTAGTGTTCGCATAGTCTCTCTCTCTATGTCATCACCGACCAAGACACCTTGCTGCTTTTTATCCCAAAGGTAAAAGCGGAGGGGAGGAGGTCAGCGTGTGTGTATGTATTTGTTGGGGCTGGTGGAGGTGGCACTGTAAGAAGTCTGTGATGGTTGTAGAATGTGTGTTTGTGTGTGTTTGTAGGGGTGCAGCAAGGCGGAGCTCGTCAGAAAGGGGTAGGATTGTCTTAGGGGTCAGTTGGTCTCGTAGGTGGAAAGCAGGGCAGCATCCACAGGCTCCATGCAGGAGGGACAGGTGAAGGACCTCATCAGCCAGTCATCTATACAGTCCATGTGGTAAATGTGCATACAGGGCAGGAAGCGGATGGGGTCCCCGTACACAAAGTCCATCATACATATCACACACCTATAAAATGGGTTTTATATCATTATGAACAGTGGTTTTGATTAGAGTCTGTGGTATATTTTTCCTGAGCACATTACCTGACCAGGAAAAACTGGGCACTAGTTATGTTAAACACACAGTTACATGTTACAACTAGGGCCAGAGTTTTACCTGGTCAGGTCACATGATCAGTGATCTTTATCAATAAAATCAGAGAATAAAAACAGTGGTAAACTAATTATATCAATATATAATATCCAATAATAAAAACAGTGGTAAGCTAATATAAAAACAGTGGTATGCAGATGCTCACTCTCTGATTTTTTTCTCGGAGCCATCCCGTCCTCCGTCATAGACGCCACGGGGGAGGTGCTGGATGAGGCCGATTCGCTGGGCGATACGGACCTGCTCCTCCTCAGTCAGCTGGGTGGCCAGGCGGGCCTGGCTGGGGGTGGGGTGGTACACTGGCATATGGGCCTGCTCCTGGAGAAAAGACACACACATACAGAGTCAATACACAGGCCAACTCAACTGGACTGATCGCACAACCCAGTGTTTTACCAATCACTGTAAGGGTGAGGTGGGATGGGCCCCCCGCCTAGCTCGGCTTCACCCCGCCTATAAGAGTTTGGCTTGGCTTAAATTGGTTTCAATTGATAATGTTGATGCAGAAAGACTGCCACCCCCTCCCCCCACAACAAAATACATTAATAAATGTTTTAAAGGAACTCAGTCCAGCTTTAAACTAACTCTTTAAAGTTAGTGATTGAAAAATGTATGCCCTCACTAACTGTAAATCGCTCTGGATAAGAGTGTCTGCTAAATGACTAAAATGTAAATATAAATGTAATAGTACAATGCAAAAGGTGCTATTTTGAAATTGGGTAGTGCATCATCAATTCCTCTTGTCATGTTAGTCATTGCATACCTCTAGAAGAGTACAAAATAAAATACATTAGCTAGCTAGCTAAATAATCTGGGAAAATTTGACCAGATTCCCTAAAGATTTTCAATGCATTTGACCCCTACCCTGGGTCTTGCATGATTCTGTCAATTATCATAGCCCTACTTCACACCAGTGACTAGCTAACATTAGCTAGCTAAATAACTCATAAAACTATCTAGCTAAGTTCCTATAAAGTCTGACCTGATAAGGCGGAGGTGGCTCCAAATCCGCGTCTGCGTCCCCATAACTTCCTCTGTCAGACTCGTGAAGCAAAGATATATCGTCCGACGTCGGCGATTTGAGACAATTGCCCATGTCCTCTTCTCAGCCCCTCGTTGTTTAGCTAGCTAAAGTAGCTAGCTTGTAAACTTGCTATTGTTCGTTTACAACTAAATGTATTCTCCCCTCGTTACAGAAGTAACGTTATTACACATTAACTACTGTTTAACAACCCATTAAATATATAATTTGTATGTTCATACGAATACTATCTCGAGCCCCAGCAGCTGTCCAAGCTATTCAACATCATCAGACCATCATAGTCAAAACAAAGAGTTAGATAGTAACAGTTGCAAGTTACTTCTGTTAGCTATATTTGGCTAACTAGCTAGCTAGCTAACGTTAGCGACATTTTATTCCTAAATGAATATCACTCATTCCTCCGCCTACGATTTGAAATGTAAAACGTTCACTTGAATAGCAACTACCATAACAACATCAAGCGATAGAAAATGAATATTTTGCACAAATATCGACCACTGACTTCGCGAATAAATCAGCAATTAACTGTCTGCCCATCATTATTATCAGAGATACTGGACATAATGACAAGATGCTTGTGTCTCCGCCCTAACAATGGCGGGATGTCAAGCTCCCGCCTATTCCTCTCTGGATTGGTGGATACATCTCGTTATTTGAATGTATTTTTAAATATTCGATGAGAGGTGTTGACGTCAACCGCCTGTATTCAATGGAGAATGAGATTCTATGCTAGCCTCATGAATATGCATAGACAGTCTTGATTACCAACAATGACGAGATCACCTACAGGGAGGAGGTGAGGACTCTGGGAGTGTGGTGCCAGGAAAGTACCCCCTAACTCAACATCAACAAAACAAAGTAGATGATCGTGGACTTCAGGAAACAGCAGAGGGTGCACCCCCCTATCCACATCGACGGGACCGCAGTGGAGAAGGTGGAAAAGCTTCAAGTTCCTTGGCGTACACAAACTGAAATGGTCCACCCACGCAGACAGTGTGGTGAAGAAGGCGTAACAGAGCCTCTTCAACCTCAGGAGGCTTAGAAATTTGGCTTATCACCTAAAACCCTCACAAACTTTTACAGATGCACAATTGAGAGCATCCTGTCAGGCTGTATCACCGCCTGGTACGGCAATTGCACCGCCCACAACCGCAGGGCTCTCCAGAGGGTGGTGCGGTCTGCCGAACGCATTACTGGGCGAAAACTACCCGCCCTCCAAGACACATACAGCACCTGATGTCACAGGAAGGCCAAAAAGATAATCAAGGACATCAACCACCCGAGCCACTGCCTGTTCACCCCGCTATCATCCAGAAGGCGAGGTCAGTACAGGTGCATCAAAGCTGGGACCGAGAGACTGAAAAACAGCTTCTATCTCAAGGCCATCAGACTGTTAAATAGCCTTCACTAGCACATTAGAGGCTGCTGCCTATATATACAGTGGGGGGAAAAAAGTATTTAGTCAGCCACCAATTGTGCAAGTTCTCCCACTTAAAAAGATGAGGCCTGTAATTTTCATCATAGGTACACGTCAACTATGACAGACAAATTGAGAAAAGAATATCCAGAAAATCACATTGTAGGATTTTTAATGAATTTATTTGCAAATTATGGTGGAAAATAAGTATTTGGTCTCCTACAAACAAGCAAGATTTCTGGCTCTCACAGACCTGTAACTTCTTCTTTAAGAGGCTCCTCTGTCCTCCACTCGTTACCTGTATTAATGGCACCTGTTTGAACAACAGCTTCTATCTCAAGGCCATCAGACTGTTAAACAGCCATCACTAGTACATTAGAGGCTGCTACTGCCTATTGAAATCACTGGCCACTTTAAGAAATGGAACACTAGTCACTTTAATAATGTTTACATATCTTGCACTACTCATCTCATATGTATATACTGCATTCTATTCTATAATATTCTTCTGTATCTTAGTCCATGCCGCTCTGTCAATGCTTGTCCATAGATGAATATATTCTTAAATCCCATTCCTTACTTTTTTTGTGTGTATTGGGTATATGTTGTGAAATTGTTAGATATTACAACACTGTCGGAGCTAGAAGCACAAGCACGTGTATGTGACAAATAACATTTGATTTGATTTCAACAGGGACAATTTGATGTAAAGTGTTTTTTCTCAATTACCAGGATGTCACGTTCATCACACTTATATCAGTATGCTCATAACAACCTAAGCATTACGAAACTTCTATTACATCAAATAAGCCTCAGGTATCAAAATAGCAATTCATTTTTATCTTTACTAAATTCCACACTCTCTCAAAAACTCCTCACTTGCTTCTAATTCTAATAGTTCGCCTAATTTCAGTTTATGTGACAAAACAAGCAAGTATAGTGTAGAGAATCATTGTAAAATCTAAACCGCTGTGAAATGTATTTACCATAACCAAAAATATTGTATTTTCAGCTGTTTGAAGCTGGTGTACAAAAACCGAAAGTAAAAGACGCAAAAACTAAACTTAAGAAAGGAAGCATATAAATAACACACATAGAACAGATCTACCACTTCAAAGACTTGCTTTCAATGAGAATGACAGATCTATAGCTCACAATTCTATGTGAATTTGGTGGGTTGCCCAAAAAGTTACATATTGCATCTTTAATTATCTAGTTAAAGGGCAATTCCACCACTTTTCAACCTCATTTTCATTATCTTCAGCACAATACCAATGTCTAGGCATATGTGAAAACGCTGCATTTGTACGTTTTGGCAGAAATAAATATAAAGTTAAAAAGTTCTACCCGATGACATCATCAAAGTGATTTTCAAATATGGTGAAGTGGGGAGCAAGAAAATGCCCTCCCTCTGGCTAGAAACATTAGAAAATAATGTAATTTTTTTGTACATTTAATCCTACCCTGTGATGTCATAGACAAGCATTTTGTAAGACCTTTCTTCTTATCTATTTTCTTGTTGCTGTAATTTACCCCCTGTTTCAATCTTGTCTCATCGCTGCAACTCCCCAATGGGCTCGGAAGGCGAAGGTTGAGTCATGCGTCCTCCGAAACATGACCTGCCAAACCGTGCTTCTTAACACCCGCCAGCTTAACCCGAAAGCCAGCCACACAAGGAAACACTGTTCAACTGACGACCGAGGTCAGCCTGCAGTCGCCCAGCCCCCCACAAGTAGTCGCTAGAGCGCAATAAGCCAAGTAAAGCCCCCTCCTGGTCAAACCCTCCCCTAACCCGGACAGCGCTGGGCCAATTGTGCGCCGCCCTATGGGACTCCCGATCATAACCGGTTGTGACACAGCCTGGGAACGAACCCAGGTCTGTAGTGACGCCTCTATCACTGCGATGCAGTGCCTTAGACCGCTGCATCACTCGGGAGGCCCTCTTCTTATCTTTTTTAACCACAGATCATAGAAATGTGATGTTTTCACATCTGTAGACACTGGTTTGGTGGTGGAATTGTGCTTTAACATGGACAGATTTTGGACAGAGTAAACCCTCTCCCTCTTCTCTTCCTCTCTGATTTATTCTCATTTTCAACCTGAGGACATCTCGGTGTCCATTGGATATGACTTAAAGGATTTAGTGTTGTTGTGCTTTGTCAGAAGGGGAGTGAGAGTTAGAGGACCAAAGACCAAACTTTGTTTAGAAACAGTGAGAGGAGAATGCTTTTGCACTTTCATTGCATAGTTGCATTGCAACATCAAGAGGAGAAGAAAGTGGTGGCTGGCAATTAGTGCATTATTCCAGGGGTTATGGTTTGGTTTGCTATGATATTGATGTGATATTATGAATGATATGCAATTAGGTCTTCAACAAAGGTCACAATTATTGATCTCATCTCATAATTCATGTAGGGTGAATTCAGATAGAGTGGAACATCATATAAACTGGGACAGTTTAATCCTGACGCGTTTATTTCTTGGTCTGACAAGAGAAAATCAAAACTATTGTTACTAAGCACTTGCAGAGAAACCACATGATCAAAATCACATCACTTAATTGGTGTGACATCATAGAGATGGGCAGAGCAAGCTTCAAACAGGAAGCTCACCCCGCGAAGCACACAATATGATCAGTGACATAGCTTTTTTTTCCTGCTTTGATGTTGAGGTTATAAAACTGTCATTATAATGCACTGTGCCAAATTGTGATGTAAATGTATATAAAATATACTGGTTCATGAAAAGATACTGAACAAGGGCCTCCTGAGTGGCACAGTGGTCTAAGGCACTGCATCGCAGTGCTAGAGGAGTCACTACAGACCTGGGATCGATCCCGGGCTGTGTCACAACCGGCCGTGATCGGGAGTCCCAGTACAACTGGCCCAGTCTCGTCTGGGTTAGCTACTCCTTGTGGCGGGCCGGGCGCCTGCAGGCTGACCTTGGTTGCCAGTTGAACTGTGTTTCCTCTGACACATTGTTGCGGCTGGCTTCTGGGTTAAGCGGATGGGTGTTAAGAAGTGTGGTTCGGTGATGTGATTTCGTTTCGGAGGATGCATGACTTGACCTTCACCTCCTGAGCCCATTGGGGAGTTGCAGCGATGAGACAACATTGAAATTGGGTTAAAAAATACATCAATATACTGAACAGAAATATAAATGCAACATTTAAAGTGTTGGTTTCTTGAGCTGAAATAAAAGTTCTCAGAATTTTCCATAAGCACAAAAAGCTTATTTCTGTCAAATTTTGAGCACTAATTTGTTTACATCCCTGGTAGTGAATATTTATCCTTTGCCAAGATAATACATCCACCTGACAGGTGTGGCATATCAAGAAGCGGATTAAACAGCATGATCATTACACAGGTGCACCTTGTGGTGGGGACAACAAAAGGCCATTCTAAAATGTGCAGTTTTGTCACACAACACAATGCCACAGATGTCTCAAGTTTTGAGGGAGCGTGCAATTGGCATGCTGACTGCAAGAATGTCCACCAGAGCTATTGCCAGAAAATTGAATGCTAATTTCTCTACCATTTGGCAATGTCCAACTGGCCTCACAACCGCAGACCACTTCTAACCACGCCAGCCCAGGACCTCCACATCCGGCTTCTTCATCTGTGGGATCTTCTGAGGCCAGCCACCTCGAAACTGAGGAGTATTTCTGTCTGTAATAAATATATTTTGTGGGGAAAAACTCATTCTGATTGTCTGGGCCTGGCTCCCAAGTGGGTGGGCCTATGCTCAGTCATGTGAAATCCATAGATCAGTGCCTAAAGTATTAATTTCAATTGACTGATTTCCTTAAATGAACTGTAGCTCAGTAAAATAGTTGAAATGGTTGCATGTTGCGTTTATATCTTTGTTCAGTATACATAAAAAGTTTACATTTTGTACTTCAGTAATTTCTTGTTGGTGTCCCGCTTTACCAACCATAGCTAGCTAAAGTAGGACAACATGGAGTAGCTAAAGTGAGACAGTCTTATAGGCTCTTATAGGTCCAGTTTACATTAGGGACCCCCTGTACTTAGGTTAGGCAGGGCTATGGTTATTGTAGTACCATATCCGGTTAATTTTTTTCTTGTAGTACTGTTATTAGTACTGTTATTTGAGTGAATTCAGAACAAGTAGGACACTTTTTGAATTTCCGTCTTCTGTTACCTCTTCAGACATCTATCCAAAATAATAGCCCAACACATGACATATTTCTGAAATCCTCAGATGTTTCCTAATCACACAACATTGAATTGAATTGTCACTGGGGTAAAATTAGGACTATAATAATGGTGTCCCATTTTATCTAACCTGCCGTCCCAGTCTACCAAATGCGAACTGAAAATATGGTTTTGACTCAGTGTACACAAATGGGTGTGTCATACCTCCTGTGAATATGATATCAATATTTTTTTTGTGTGTGTGATTAGGAAACATCTTGATTTCATAAATGTATCATGTGTTGGGCTAATATGTTGGATACATGTCGAAAGAGGTTACAGAAGACGGAAATGCAAAAAGTGTCCCACTTAATCCGAATTCACCCTTGATATTTATTCCCTGAATTGGTCTACCATAAAGTGTAAACAACACTCAGAGAGTCTTCAGAGCCTTTATAGAGAGTTGTATAAGGATTGGAGTTTAGTATTTTTGTATTTTATTAGGATCCCCATTAGCTGGTGCCAAGCCAGCCGTTACTCTTCCTGGGTTCCAAACAGGAACAAAACAACACATCACAACAAAACTATAGTCTACATCATAAATAAAACAATACATCCCACAAGACATTGTGCACTATACAAATTTACACTGCTTCACCATTACAAATGTACAAAATTAAATTTACAATATTACAACAATACAATATTACAATGTGTGGGTGTTTGTTGAGTGTGTGTGTTTGTTGTTTTTAAATCAGATTTTACTGCTAGCTTGAGTTACCTGATGTGGAAGAGAGTTCCATGTATTCATGGCTCTGTGTAGTACTGTGCGTTTCCCAGCCTCTGTTTTGGACTGTGAAGAGACCCCAGATGGCATGTCTTGTGGGGTATGTATGGGTGTCTGAGCTGTGTGTTAACTGATTGAACAGACAGTTCGGTGCTTTCAACACATCAATACCTCTCACAAAGACCAGTGGTGCAGTCAATCTCTCCTCTACTTTGAGCCAGGAGAGACATGCACATTATTGATGTTAGCCCTCTGTGTACATTAAAGGGCCAGCCGTGCTGCTCTGTTCTGGGCCAACTGTAATTTGCCTATGTCCTTCTTTGCAGCACTTGACCATATAACTGGGCAGTAGTCCAGGTGTGATACAACTAGGGCCTGTAGGACTTGTTTGGTTGATTGTGATGTCAAGACAGCAGAGCAGCACTTTATCAAGGACATACAGTACCTCTCCCCATCTTAGCAACCAAAGCATCAATATGTTTTGACCACTTCAGTTTACAATCTAGGATTACACCAAGCAGTTTAGACTCCTCAACTTGCTCAATTGCCACATTATTCATTACAAGATTTAGATGAGGTTTAGGGTTTAGCAAGTGATTTGTTCAAATTAAAATGCTTTTAGTTTTTTTATATATTATGGACCAGCTTATTAGCCACCTATTCTAAAACTGACTGCAGCTCTTTTTTAAGGCTTGCAGTGATATCACTTGCTGTGGTAGCTGACATGTATAATGTTGAGTCATCAGCGTACATAGACACACAGGCTTTACTCAAGGCTAATGCTAGGTCATTCATAAAAATAGATAACAATAAAGGACCAAGACACCTGCCTTGATGTATACCACACTGGTTTACGTTAGAGAGGCTTCCATTAAAGAAAACCCTTCTGTGTTATGTTAGATAGGTATCTCTGAATCTACAATATGGCAGAGGATGTAAAGCCTCTGACCATTGGTCTAGTCTACCTCAGATATGGAGACAAGCAGCCACATACTGTATGTGCAATTGAGGACACTTTTATTGCAATTGAGGACACTTTTATTCATATATACAGCTATTATACACATATAAACCAAACAACTATTTGCATTCCAGGACAATTCTCCATGTTTTTTGGTTAAGTAAGTTTCACAGAATCATTACCCTTTTTCAGGCAAATAAAACAAATACAAATACCTTAAATTAACATTCCAGAGATATCCTATTCCATCCTCCAAGCATGTTGTGAGGAGAAAGGGATATGTTCTCTCACAATCCTACAGAAAGCATGATATAAATGTACTGTACATTATTAGTAAACCATTCTAAATAACGGGTGAAATCAGGTGTGTGGAAAACATATTTCTACATGTGTCGTCTGTAATGGTTCATACAGTATTGACATAAAGAATAAAGGAAGAAGATATACAGTTGCAGTGAGTTCTTTGACACATACTGATGACGTTGTAAGCTAATGTAGAAGAGGAGAATATGGACTGCTACATTTATGAACAACAAAACACTCAAGTTCATGATTGTTTCTGTGCCAGTTTTTGATTCTGGAAGATGACAAGGAATTAATCAGTCAAATGGTAAAATATTGTAACAACTGAAGAAAAACAGGTACAGTACAGTACATTGACAAGATGAAAGTTGGTCCAAGACAGGCACATGGTCTGCTGGTTTTCCTAGTGACTTAATAAAGGTTAATTGATGGATTGAAGCCATGTTCTGTGTATAGTTCTAGTCATTTGGTTCTCTAGAGTCCAGTTCATAACAAAGCACTCTCTTTCAAATCACACTGGATATTTTGACATTCCTTTTCTGAAAAATAATGTTTCACATTTCATAACATTGTTGGTTGCTTTCCATTGTCCTGCAAGTTGGTAAAAAATGAAAAATAAATCATACAGATTCCCAACAGAAGAGTGTGCCATTCACTTTTCTGTTTGTACAAAGTGGATAACTCTCCTATTGATCATTGTTTTATTCCTTTTACATTTTACAACAGGAATTACATAGTTTACGTATGAATAGGTTATTACTAAAGAAGTGTGTTCCCTTTGTAGACAGTAAATGGATAGGAAATCTAATGGTGGAGGGTGCAAAAGGTAAAAAACTAACTAATCTCTACTAAATTTCAAAACACATTGCTTTGATCAATTATTGTTTGGGTGTATTTTTTTACAGACATGATTACATTTTATTAACTTAATACATTGACAGTTAACCTTCTCTATGGCCATGTATCCTACTCAGACAATCAAGTGGTATTGGTGGCATTACAATTGTATGACAAAAATCACATGTATTTACAAAAACCATGGCTTTCAAAGATATTGTTTCTCCTTATTTTGCACATATTCACACACCCCACATACACTGTTAAGAGAAACACTGAATCAATGTCAGAAAAACACCTTCAGAAATGACAATACCTATTGACACATAATTCTATCCTTTCAATTTATTTAATCTATTTTCTGTACATCCAAGGCTAATTGAGGTTTATTATTACTCGCTTTCTTTTGATAGTCAGAATAGAATTGAACCACAGTCAAATATTTGTGGGTAGATATTTATTGTACATCTTCTGTGTGACTTTCAAAGGGATCCCACTTGCAGGAAGTGAAAAACAATGTTCTTAATTTTTGTTCTCCCCTCACATTTTATCAAACATACTGCAATCACACAGGTATGCAGTAGTAATGCAAGAGAGCGACAAATGTCCCTTTTTCTTTTATATTGTAGCACATATTTTACTCTAGCACCTTCCTCACCTCTCATCCACAACCACTTCCTCCTCCTCCTAGTAGTGGTCGTCCTCCTCTGTGTCGCTGAGTGGCTCACAGCCCGCAACAGAGACGGTCTGAGCCAGGCGTTTCCGGAAGTGTCCATTGGGGATCTGCCAACCGCTCCTGGAGCCCCTTCGGGCCGAGCTGAAGCTAGAGCTGGAGGTGGAGCTGACCGTGTTAGCGCGTCCCAGGCTAGTGGCCACCGCCGCCTCGAAGGTCAGTGTCTCCATGAACCCGGAGGGGTCAGGACTGTGCTCGTCCTCCTGCAGGGCAAGGTAGGGCTCCGACGGGTAGCGACGCGGGGTGGAGCACTGCTGGTGGTGGTGGCGATGACCTCTTGCCCCGGTCTGTCCCTCTCCCCCTGCCTCCTCTCTGGAGGCCTCCCCCCGCCTCTGGGTCTCTGGGCTGCCCCTGTCGTCATCATCGTCCCCAGAGGGAGGGTGCGTGCGACACACCAGAGGGGAGTAGGAGATGTGGGGATGGGAGCGAGTTGGGGTCTGGGACAGGGGGCGGCGGCTAGGGGTACTAGATTCAGAGGTGGGGATGGGGCTGTCGGAGCTGTTGCCCTGGACACAGGAGTCGAAACACATTTAATAAAGATGTCTGACTGCCTTTAAAAAAAAGTGTCTATTGTGTATCCAATGTGGGTATGTGTTTGTGGTCTACTTTGTCTAAACCAGAGTTTACACCAGTGGTGTATGGCTCTTTAATGTGTGCCCTTGGTAAGGCATCCAGTGTGTGTGTGTGCGTGTGTGTGTGTCCGTGGCCTACCTGTTTGTCCAGAGGGTGTGTGCGCTCTCGGCTAGGGGAGCATGAGGGCTGCAGACTCCTCTCCTCAGAGTTACAGCGGGATGTGTCTGGAGAGAGGAGGTGGCGGCGCTCTTTGGACCTCCCGTGCTCCTTCTCCGTGTCCAACTGCCTCTTCCTGTCTGACCGGGACACTGGAGGAGGACGAGGAAGACCATGGCAAGGAGCACAGAGAGAGGAGAGAGGAGAGAGGAGGGGGAGGGGGAGGGGGGGGGGGGACAGCAAGATAAATAGATATAGATTTTTTTAAAACACTGTAGATCATTAAATAGTATGTTGACATTGATGCACTTAGGATAAAAGAAAAGGAAAAGCGGCACTTGTATACAGGATAAAGACCTAAGAAAGGAAAGGGAAAATGCAGGGAAGAAAACTTGACATATTAACACATGCATAGAATAACCACACAGTAACATCCCTCATCATGCCAGTGGGAGAGATGAGAGGAGAGGTCACATGAGTGGAAATTGGAGAGTGGAGACTGACCGGCAGACTTGTAGCTCTTGTGGCGTGGTCTGTACAGTCTATCAGGACTCTTCTTCTCCTCAGCCACAGTGGACGAGGAACGCTTCATAGAGCCACTGGCCATCTCCATCTGCACACACACACACACAAACACGCACGTGCATACACACGCACATGCACACAGAGGGGGAGACAACCAAATACCCACAAATACCATAAAATAGGATGTGTTACTTTCGAAGAAATCCATCCATCTGTCGATCCATGCAGCATTCTCTTTTTTAAATTCATATCCATGCTCACTATTCCAGGCAATTAACAGGTCAACTAGGATGCTTGAACCTCATCATTTTACTCTTCAACTCATTGTTCAGCGCAAGACAGAGACAAAACATACCAGTAACCCAGGATCAATCAAACACCATTCTGAACCGCTAGCATTCCTTTGAAACATCCATGTTGATTATCCCTCTCCAGACAACCCAGCAGCAAATGGAAGACACATAAAACCCCTTTTTCTCTCCAAACGGCACAACCAGTGTAGCCTGGTCCTCGTCCTCTGTCAAACAGACATGCATGTCACACTCTGGGGCCCCCTTGCTGCCCAGGGCCCTTCTGGCCCCTGGAGGAGTCAGTGTGGTCAGAGGGCAGTACCTGTGGCTCTACAGCCAGACGGGGCATGGAGGAGGCCCGTACACCCAGCCCCTTGCCAAACGGGAGCTCCAGTGGGTAAGGAATCAACCCACTGCACTCCCCTGCACTCACCTATATGAGACCAGAGACAGAGAGAGGGGCAAGGGGAGAGATAGAGTACAGTACAGATCAGGCTGGACAATTCAATACTGGGACTAACTGCCTTTTGGGGTTCCAGCGAAGGAGGGTTTCAGCCAATGTTACATCGTAATCATTTGCGAGTGCCTTTCTGCAACCAATCAGAAGCCATTCCAGCCAAAGAGCCACAGATTAACAACCAATGACAACAAGGAGTCTGACCCCAGTAGGATTGGGCAAAACAGGAGTAGGAGAAAGAGTCATAAGCACATTGCTACAACAATAAATGAGAAGAGAGAGGCCAGAACAACTATTGGGCTGTTGTTACACACACACTAATGCAAGTTCAGATCTGGATGCACCAAACATACTGAGCCGGACAAGTTCACCTGCCTTAAAGCCAGTCATGTTACTCCCCAGTGAAAATATACATAGAAGAAGGCAAACACTAACAGATATCAAGAGTCAAAGTCGTGACATTCCTATAGGGCAAAAAGTACACTGCTGACCAGTTCAACCAAACAGCATAGAAATAGTACAATGAGCAGTGAGAATGCCTACATCTCCTTTCAAACCTCCACTAACCGGACTACAACTTGGCAAGGACAGAAACACCTAGAAACATCAATGCCGTGCTCTGCGATGCACTACTAGTTTCTTCATTCAACCATTACTAGGGCCAGTTGTTTTTTTCTGAATTTTTTTATTTGACCGGTATTTCCAGCATTACCCACTAGGTTTGCTGCAGGTAGAAAATCCTAGGAAATCTTCTTTAATGGACACAAGTTGTCAATCAATCAATGTCTGGTTGTGTGTGAGTGCTTGGTGGGGGGGATCGCCTAAGCCAGGGGAGGCGTAGCTCTTTGAATCTTAATTAAATGCCTTTTATTTGGCAGGGAATACTATTTGTATATCAGTGATTCTACACCTCACCTTGCTCAAGCTGATCCTCTCCAACGGACTCAGAAGTGTAGCTAGAAATTGGTAAATTAGGTGCTGTTTAAGGGGTGAGTCAATTAAACCAAACATGGGAGTGTTTTGTAGCAAATTCGTGGGGTAGCCCCTACCAGGACTCGAACCCAGGTCCAGCAACTGTCAAGCCAACACCTTAACCAGAATTATGCATTTCTTGCAGTGAAATTATACAACTGTTAATTTTGTCTCAGGAACACGAGCGGATAATTCTTTTTTCTTTCAGCATCTCTTGAGAAAAGACAAATGTGCCTGTAACGTTTCATCTTTGACAAGCAGACAGTATTTCAACCACATAAAATATGCACCCAAGATAAACTGAAGTCTTATCAGAAAGGTGTTTCGTTGTTTTCTCAGCTTTTCATTTCCTTAAAACCGGTCAAACTGATGACATTTGGACATTTTGCACAGGACCAATCTTTCCACCGTTTTGGAGTTATTGCGTTTTCTCCCCGGTCCCTAAATGAAACAGACAACATTACCGGTGTTAACTAGATCACCAATGCATTCATTCTATTGATGTAAGACATTCTGGTGAGCACTACTTTATTTAGTATTCTGGGGTGACAAGTTATGACAGAAGAGAAGCTGCATGTATCAAACTATAGTTGACAAACAAATGTCCTACCAAATGTCGTAAATTATAATATGGCCAATGTCGGAAATTATAAGCAGAAACTTGTCTAAATTACGGGTGAAAGTAGCCAGTAGTAAATTATAGTAAATTAATTAGAATTTAGTAGGCAAAATTATTATTGAATTATTATGGTGAATTGAACTGCACAGGTAGCCTACTTTTTGAAGTGATTTGTTTGACAATCAGATGAAAATATCAGCACACAATACGCATGATATGTTAAACTGAGCATGCGCAGACCGCTAAAAAAAACAGTTAACAGGATAAGATGTTTATTTGCCACAGTTCCATCTTAGATCAGCATATCCCAGGCATCTTATCCGGGTTTCTCATAACCGTGATATAAGCTTTTTCGGGTTATTGTAAACGGGATTGGATGTTTATATGTGTCAACTCAAGAACAGAATACTTGAGTATCCCGAATAATAACAGGGTATTGGTGTGCATGTAAACGTGGTAATGACTCTCCCCTTAAACTGCCTCTAGGGCTGCGTTTAGACAGGCAGCCCACTATTTGTAGAGCAGTGATTCTACACCTCACTTTGCTCAAGTCGATCCTCTCCAACGGACTCGGAAGTTGTAGCTAAAAATGGCTGCATTTACACAGGCAGGCCAATTCAGATCTTTTTTTTCACTAATTGGTCTTTTGACCAATCAGATCAGCTCTGAAAAAGATCTGATGTGATTGGTCAAAAAGATCAAAATTGTGCTGCCTGTGTAAACGCAGCCTAATTAACCAATTTTTTGCTACAACTTCCGAGTCCATTGGAGAGGATCAGCTTGAGCAAAGTGAGGTGTAGAATCACTGATCTACAAATAGTATTCCCTGCAAAATAATAGGAAAAAACCCACAAAAACAAATGGCCCTAACCATTACTACTAGATGTGTCATTGATTCATTGTTATCTATGTGTGGGTTGGTATTGAGCTTTACCGCAGGAGGTTAGGCTTTCATTGTGCAGTATTTTATATTTTGCCCATAGCTACTGTATCATTGTGATTTGACTTTTTCCTTTCGGTTCCTAGCAAAGGGCCTTATAGAGCTATCATTGTACGCTTACTAAATGATATAAAGCATCCTTTGTTGGTGTAGTATGTGTTGGTGTCCGTGCTAGTTTAGTGTGATGTACAGTACTCCTGTGATGAGTTTCTACAGTATGTTGTCCTTGGTACTTGTCCTTACCCTGGAGTGTTGGCTGCTGATGTCCTGGTCAGTCATGGGCTGCATGGTGAACAGGTCCTGGGAGAGAGGACTCAATGCCACCAGGCCTCCTCTGGTCCTACAGAGGGAGGCAAGCCACACAGGAAATAATGTCAAACACAAATACTTTCTAAAGGCACAACATACACACACACACAGTCTTGTACAACTAACCTTGTGGGGACACACAATTAAGTCCCATTCAAAATCCTATTTTCTCTAACCCTAACCTTAACCCTAACCCTAACCTTAACCTGAAAACCTAACCTTAACCCTTAACCCTAAAACTAACCCTAGCTCCTAACCCTAATTCTAACCTTAACCCTAAACCCCCTAGAAATAGCATTTGACCTTGTGGGGATAACAAAATATCCCCAGTTGGTCAAATTTTTGTTCATTTACTATTCTAGTGGTGACTTCTGGGCCCAGATTCACAAAACCTTCTTAAGAAGAAATGTATTCTTAACTGCCATGTTTTCCCTTAACTATAGACTTGAGAAGAAAGTTAAGCAAAGTTGCTATTCCTCAAAAAGGTGATTGGAAATTTTCTTGCGCTATTTCTTGTGTTTCTCCTTAAGCAAAAAGTTAAGAAGAAATTAGATTCTTTAAAAAAAAGTTAGTTATTGGAAATGTTCTTAATTCCAAGATAGCTAACCTGTTGTCTTAAACTCAGGGCAGTGAGAGAAAAAGCTCAGGAAAGCAATTGAACATCTTTAATTCACTCACAAACATCATCTGAAAGTTTTAGTATTGATGATTTTAAACCCAAGAACATGTTTTAGAACAATAATCTCAGTAAGAAATATGCTAACATCATTGCCATTGCTAGCTAGATAGCTACCTAAAACGGTTGCCTAGCAACAAACATCTTAAGAAGATTTGTAAGAAGATATTTGAGAATTTGTAAGGAAATCAATCAATCTTAAGATATTGTTGAGGAATTGCACTTACGAACTATCTTATGAACTTTTTCTGAAGAAGCTTCTTTTTGTGAATCTGGGCCATGGTCCCCACAAGTATAGTTAAACACGTCCACACACACACACACACACACACACACACACACACACACACACACACACACACACACACAAACACACACACACACACACACACACACACACACTGAGGGTGGATTGACTCACAGGGCGGAGCCGGCACTGAGGGGCATGCAGGGCAGGGGCTGGGCATTGTACAGAATGTCTTCAGAGAGGGTCGAGGCATCCAGCCTTTGGAACGGCATCAGGCTGGCCTTCTGTAGAGGAGACCACACCAAGCAATGTATCACTACAGGCACTAGGTTGTGTCAACAGATCAGATGCCATGATAATCTTATACAAAAGAGGGGTGAGGTTTATACAGTATATATGATGTTTATATAGTGTGCATATCTGACCTGTGCTTCCAGTTGTGCTCTCAGCTTCTTGGCTTTATTCTGTTTGAAGTAGTCCATGATCATCATGGAGGCATATATCTTACCTACTGTCATGTCGGAATCTGTAAGACACAAACACAGTTAGATTGCTAGTCATTGAGTGACTGACTGCCTCCCAGCTCTACCTCTTCAAATCTCTCTAGTGTGGGTCTGACCTTTGTTGATGGGCACCAGTACATCCAGAGTCTTCTGGGGGAGGTACGGCCATATCACACTGATTTCCTTCTGTAGCTCAGTGTCCAGAGCTACTCGGTCCTCCCCACCTGGAGCGGAATAAAATAGATCTTTATTCATCCATTATACACAGGCAGTGGAAATTGTTGATTTTGCTTAATTTCTTGATTCAACTACTCAACCAATCATCAAGCCATTTATAAGTTGAATCAGGTGTGTTACCAGTAATGGGCTGGACCAAAAGCCTACATGTCCTAGGATGTGTGGATCTCCAGGCTCAATATGGAAGACCAAGTCTAAACAGGATAAACGCATGCAGATGCAGTGATGCATGGTGGTTTCAAACTCAACTCATTCCCTGACCTCGTGCGATCTTGATCTCCAGAGCGGTGCGGATGAGAGACATCAAGGTGGAGGTGAAGTGGACTGACATGTCCTCATCCACTGGCATGTTCATCAACACCAGCCTCTGTGGAGAGAGGGGGAGGGAGGGAGGGAGGAAGGATGAGAGGGAGGGATGGAGGAAGGAAGGAAGGAAGAGAAGGGGAGGGAGAGGAGAGGGAAGGGAGGAGGAAGGAGAGGAGGAGGAGGAGTAGGTGTGGGAGATGGATATTGAGGGAAGAGGAGTAGGAAAGAAAACTATGAAGGATTTCAATTCTTCTTCAGTGTTCTTGCTTCTTCTTTCTTTCTTTCTTCGGCCTTCCTTCTTCCTTCCTTCTTTCCTCTTCCGTCCACGACCTGCCTTACCGTCTCTCCTCCCGCCTTCTAGGCTTCTTCCTTCTGCTTTTTTCTTCTCGCTTGCCTTCGTCGGCTCTTCGAGCGTTCCTTCCAGGCCTTCTCTGCCTGCATTCCTTCCTTCCTCCGTCCGGTCTCCTTCCTTCCTTCTTCTTTTGTTTGTCTTAGTCTGTCGTTCTTGTGCTCTGCTTCCTGAAGGCTGGGGACTCTCAGCATGCCTTCCTTCCTTCTGTGCCTGCTGCTTCATTCTTGGCTTCGGGGGTTTCGTTCGTTGCCTCCCGAGTTTAGCTTGCATTCCTCGCTTCATGCGGCAACCAGCTTCAAGGGGCCTTCCCGCAGTAGATGGAAGTTTCTTAAGGACCTCGCGTCCGGCTAAGGAGGAAGGCAGTCGGCACCGGAAGGAAGGAAGACGGAAGTCCCGGAGGCCGACGGGAAGGAATGCGAGGAAGGAAGGAAGTGCAGGAGGGAGCGGAGGGTGAGGGAGTGAGGGAGGGTGAGCTTCGGGCAGGGGGAGGGGGGGAGGGGGGGTGGGAGGGTAGGTCATTCACTTGGTTTATGTAAAACAACTAAATATTTCTCTATCCTAAATTAAAAATAAGAAAATAACTGTTTCTCCCATACCTTGTAGGCCATACCTCTGGGGCATTTCTTCCCCAGACCAAGGGGTGGAGACATATGGGTCAACATCTCATACATGGCAGTGTAGTGTATACGCCCACTACCGAGGAAACAGAGAAGATGAGGAAGGAGAGAGAGAGAGTTGAAGAGAAAAGGTAAAGGTAAAGGCATTCATTACGAGTTTGTGTAAGTTTGAAACAGAACAGGTTGGCAAATCTTGCACAGGAATTAAGGCAGTTTAGGCCTATTTCGCTTTTAGTGAATCAATACACTGCCCTCTGCTGGGCAAAGTTGAGACATGGTGGGGTTCTTCTCTCTCACCATGCTGCACGGTCGTACTCTCCCCAGACACGGACAAACTCATCCAGGTGATGAGGTCCCAGGATGGAAGAGTCTCTGGTCAGGTACTCAAAGTTATCCATGATCACAGCCACAAACAGATTCAGCATCTACAGAGTCACACAAGAGGAGAGGACGTGTGAAGGACAGCATGTGTGTATGTACAAATATACAGTATGTGCTATACTGATGTGCACATATGCATGCATACAATAAAAATAACTGCTTTTGTGAATGAGAATGAGAAAGATGGACAGAGAGAGAGTGCTGACAGAGTGGAGATAAGGAGAGAAAGTGTATTTGTGTAGCACAATAAAACAAGTACTTTTGTGTATCAGTAAGATGGACAGAGAGAGCGGGAGTGAGAGAGAGAGGGAGTGAGAGAGAGAGCGGGAGTGAGAGAGAGAGAGAGAGAGAGAGAGAGAGAGAGAGAGAGGGAGAGAGAGAGAGTGAGAGTGAGAGAGGAGAGAAGAGCACTGACAAATAGTGGAGGTAAGGAGAAAATGTGTATTTCTGCAGCGTCCTCACCAGGAAGGAGCTGAAGAAGATGAAGGAGACAAAGTAGCAATAGGCGAAGTCAGTACCACAGCCTCCCTCGTGGTCAGGGGACATGGTCATGGGTGCCATGGAGGAGTCTGGCTCACACTCCTGCCCCCCCAGACACGATAGCATGATCTCCTGCCATGACTCCCCGGTCGCACTCCTGTCAATCAATGAGTAAATCAATGAGTCAATTAATGAATCAATCAAGCAAGCAATGATTTGATCAACCAATTAGTCTATTAAACATTAACCAATATATTAATTCATCATCAGTCAGCATAATCATCTACTTATAGTTTTGAATATCTCAGTTCAGCTTGCGAGTCCTTCTCAATGCGCCCACCTGAAGAGAAGCATCAGTGCACCGGAGAAGGTCTTGAAGTTGTTGTGCTGGTTTATGTGGTTTTCATTGTTCAGTTTGATGTTTCCAAACACCTTATGTGGATCAGGTGAGAAAAAAACATGAAGCCATTATACAACATCCCTTTGAGCAAGGTTCCCCAACTGGCGGCCCCCCAAGTTTTCTGAGCAAAAAATTAAAAAACATATTGTTTTTTGTTGGACATAAAAGACTGTAAAAACACTAACATATCAGCTCCAAGTGATTTTAATTTTGGAAATCTGTTCCAAAGTATTCCGACGCATAATAGAGAGATATAAGTGATCATATACAAATGTTTGAAACGATCAGGGGCGCAACTTTGGTTTTAGAAGTGGGGGGGACATACAATACCGTACAAAAGTTTGGGGTCACTTAGAAATGTCCTTGTTTTCGAAAGAAAATCAATTTTTTTTGTACATTAAAATAACATCAAATTGATCAGAAATACAGTGTATACATTGTTAATGTTGTCAATGGCTATTGTAGCTGGAAACGGCTGATTTTTTATGGAATATCTACATAGACGTACAGAGGCCCATTATCAGCAACCATCAGTCCTGTGTTCCAATGGCACGTTGTGATTGCTAATCCAAGTTTATCATTTTAAAAGGCTAATTGATCATTAGAAAACCCTTTTGCAATTATGTTAGCACAGCTGAAAACTGTTGTGCTGATTAAAGAAGCAATAAAACTGGCCTTCTTGAGACTAGTTGAGTATCTGGAGCATCAGCAATTGTGGGTTCGATTACAGGCTCAAAATGGCCAGAAACAAATAACTTTCTTCTGAAACTCGTCAGTCTATTCTTGTTCTGAGAAATGAAGGCTATTCAATCCGAGAAATAGCCTTCATTTCTCAGAACAAGAATAGACTGACGAGTTTCAGAAGAAAGTTATTTGTTTCTGGACATTTTGAGCCTGTAATCAAACCCACAATTGCTGATGCTCCAGATACTGAACTAGTCTCAAGAAGGCCAGTTTCGGGCTGTGCTAACATAATTGCAAAAGGGTTTTCTAATGATCAATTAGCCTTTTAAAATGATAAACTTGGATTAGCAAACACAACGTGCCATTGGAACACAGGACTGATGGTTGCTGATAATGGGCCTCTGTACGCCTATGTAGATATTCCATTATAAATCAGCCGTTTCCAGCTACAATAGCCATTTACAACATTAACAATGTCTACACTGTATTTCTGATCAATTTGATGTTATTTTAAAGGACAAAAAAAATGCTTTTTCTTTCGAAAACAAGGACATTTCTAATTGACTCCAAACATTTGAACGGTAGTGTATATATATATACAGTGGGGAAAAATAGTATTTAGTCAGCCACCAATTGTGCAAGTTCTCCCACTTAAAAAGATGAGAGAGGCCTGTAATTTTCATCATAGGTACACGTCAACTATGACAGACAAATTGAATTTTTTTTCTCCAGAAAATCACATTGTAGGATTTTTAATGAATTTATTTGCAAATTATGGTGGAAAATAAGTATTTGGTCACCTACAAACAAGAAAGATTTCTGGCTCTCACAGACCTATAACTTCTTCTTTAAGAGGCTCCTCTGTCCTCCACTCGTTACCTGTATTAATGGCACCTGTTTGAACTTGTTATCAGTATAAAAGACACCTGTCCACAACCTCAAACAGTCACACTCCAAACTCCACTATGGCCAAGACCAAAGAGCTATCAAAGGACACCAGAAACAAAATTGTAGACCTGCACCAGGCTGGGAAGACTGAATCTGCAATAGGTAAGCAGCTTGGTTTGAAGAAATCAACTGTGGGAGCAATTATTAGGAAATGGAAGACATACAAGACCACTGATAATCTCCCTCGATCTGGGGCTCCACGCAAGATCTCCTGTTTTTGTCGTGTGTCTGTAAATAGCCTGTAAATACCCTGTTTTTTTTTGTATTTTTCGTACATATTTTCCTATCAGACTTTTCATCCTTCTACAAAATATACTTTCCTGCAACCCGCCTCACTCAATGTGGAACGGATTCTATTATTGACTTACCTTTTATCTAGAATCTCCAGTTGAAACTAGCTAGCCAGCTAACTAGCTACTTGCTATTAGCCACAGTAGCTATTTCACCCAGAACATTGGATTTTCTGCCGGAATCACTGAATCACTGGACCTTTAACTCCGGATTCATCGCTACCAGCTAGCTGCAACAAAAAAGACGTTGAGGTCTGGCTAATCATCCTGAGCTAGGCCCATCTCCCGGCTATCTACCTCTCTGTCAACCGGACGGGACCACCTAGTGTTGACACAGAGCCCAGCCGATCCTACACGACTGGTCTGCCGACGAAATCGTCTGATGAGGTAGATTTTACAACAGGCTTCCCGTTACGACGTCGACCACGAAGATTCCATCTGCTAGCCCCGGCCTGCTAGCACACGCTAGCCGTGCCCTCTTGCTCGCTAGTGCTTTAGCAGCCCCCGAACTACCTCCGAACTATCCTATTGCTGTTCACCGGACCTTATGTTAACTCAGCTATACAGCTGATGTCTGCTGGACTGTTCCTTTTTATGGTACTGCATCCTGTTTATGTTTAGCCTCAGCCCAAACTGTGTCATCATTACCAGCTGTTGTCTTAGCTCTCTCAAATTACACCTGTGATTGCTTTATGCCTCTCTCCCTTGTCAATATGGTTAGCTTATTGTTGTTTCGGTTATTTCTAATTGTACTATTTCACTGTAGATCCCCCAGCCCAGCTAAACCTGCCTTAGATAGCTCCTTTGTCCCACCCCCCATACACGCGGAGACCGACTCAATTGGTGCCTCCAGTGATACTATCTCTTTCATTGTTACCCAATGCTTAGGTTTACCTCCACTTTACTCATATCCTTCCATATCCTTGTCTGTACATAATGCCCTGAATCTTTTCTACAACGCCCGGAAATCTGCCCCCTTTATTCTATGTACCCAACGCACTAGAAGACCAGTTCTTAAAGCCTTTAGCCGTATCCTTATTCTAGTCCTCCTCTGTTCTTCTGGTGATGTAGAGGCTAACCCAGGCCCTGCAGCCCTCAGTATCACTCCTACTCCCCAGGCGCTATCATTTGCTGACTTCTGTAATCGCAAAAGTCTTGGTTTCTTGCACGTAAATATCAGAAGTCTACTTCCTAAGTTTGAGTTATTCACTGCGTTAGCACACTCCGCCAACCCTGATGTTCTAGCAGTGTCTGAATCCTGGCTTAGGAAGGCCACCAAAAATTCTGAAATTTCCATCCCCAACTATAACATTTTCCGTCTAGATAGAACTGCCAAAGGGGGTGGAGTTGCAATCTACTGTAGAGATAGCCTGCAGAGCTCTATCATACTATCCAGGTCTGTGCCCAAACAGTTTGAGCTTCTACTTCTAAAAATCCACGTTTCCAGAAATAAGTCTCTCACTGTTGCCGCTTGCTACAGACCCCCCTCAGCCCCCAGCTGTGCCCTGGATACCATATGTGAATCGATTGCCCCCCATTTATCCTCAAAATTCGTACTGCTTGGTGACCTAAATTGGGATATGCTTAACCATCCCGGCCATCCTACAATCCAAACTAGATGCCCTCAATCTCACACAAATTATCAACGAACCTAGCAGGTACAACCCTAAATCCGTAAACATGGGTACCCTCATAGATATCATCCTGACTAATTTACCCTCTAAATACACCTCCGCTGTCTTCAACCAGGATCTCAGCGATCACTGCCTTATTGCCTGCGTCCGTAACGGGTCCGCGGTCAAACGACCACCCCTCATCACTGTCAAACGCTCCCTAAAACACTTTAGCGAGCAGGCCTTCCTAATTGACCTGGCCCAGGTATTCTGGATGGATATAGATCTCATTCCGTCAGTAGAGGATGCCTGGTTGTTCTTTAAAAGTAATTTCCTCTCAATCTTAAATAAACATACCCCATTCAAAAAATACAGAACTAAGAACAGATATAGCCCCTGGTTCTCCTCAGACGTGACTGCCCTTGACCAGCACAAAAACATCCTGTTGCGTACTGCATTAGCATCAAATAGCCCCCGCGATATGCAACTTTTCAGAGAAGTTAGGAACCAATATACACAAGCAGTCAGGAAAGCAAAGGCTAACTTTTTCAAACAGCAATGTGCATCCTGTAGCACTAACTCCAAAAAGTTTTGGGACACTGTAAAGTCCATGGAGAATAAGAGCACTTCCTCCCAGCTGCCCACTGCACTGAGGCTAGGAAACACTATCACCACCGATAAATCTACAATAATTGAGAATTTCAACAAGCATTTTGCTACGGCTGGCCATGCTTTACACCTGGCTACCACTACCCCGGCCACCAACTCTGCACCCTCCGCTGCAACTTGCCCATGCCCCCCCCCGCTTCTCCTTCACACAAATTCAGCAGCTGATCTTCTGAAAGAGCTGCAAAATCTGGACCCCTACAAATCAGCTGGGTTAGACAATCTGGACCCTTTCTTTCTAAAACTAGCCGCCGAAATTGTCGCAACCCCTATTACTAGCCTGTTCAACCTCTCTTTAGTAACGTCTGAGATCCCCAGAGATTGGAAAGCTGCTGCGGTCATCCCCCTCTTCAAAGGGTGTGACACTCTAGATCCAAACTGTTACAGACCTATATCCATCCTGCCCTGCCTTTCGAAAGTATTTGAAAGCCAAGTTAACAAACAGATCACCAACCATTTCGAATCCCACCGTACCTTCTCCGCTATGCAATCCGGTTTCCGAGCTGGTCATGGGTGCACTTCAGCCACGCTCAAGGTCCTAAACGATATTATAACCGCGATCGATAATAGACAGTACTGTGCAGCCATCTTCATCGACCTGGCCAAGGCTTTCGACTCTGTCAACCACCGCATTCTTATTGGCAGACTAAATAGCCTTGGTTTCTCAAATGACTGCCTCGCCTGGTTCACCAACTACTTCTCAGATAGAGTTCAATGTGTGAAATCGGAGGGCCTGTTGTCTGGACCTATGGCAGTCTCTATGGGGGTGCCACAGGGTTCAATTCTTGGGCCGACTCTTTTCTCTGTGTATATCAATGATGTCGCTCTTGCTGCTGGTGACTCTCAGATCCACCTCTACGCAGACGACACCATTTTGTATACATCTGGCCCTTCATTGGACACTGTGTTAACAAACCTCCAAACGAGCTTCAATGCCATACAACACTCCTTCAGTAGCCTCCAACTGCTCTTAAACACTAGTAAAACTAAATGCATGCTCTTCAATCGAACGCTGCTGGCACCCGCCACACCCGACTAGAATCACCACTCTCGACGGGTCTGACCTAGAGTATGTGGACAACTACAAATACCTAGGTGTCTGGTTAGACTGTAAACTCTCCTTCCAGACTCACATTAAGAATCTCCAATCCAAAGTTAAATCTAGAATCGGCTTCCTATTTCGCAACAAAGCCTCCTTCACTCATGCTGCCAAACATGCCCTCGTAAAACTGACTATCCTACCGATCCTTGACTTCGGCGATGTCATTTACAAAATAGCCTCCAGCACTCTACTCAGCAAATTGGTTGTAGTCTATCACAGTGCCATCCGTTTTGTCTCCAAAGCCCCATACACTACCCACCACTGTGACCTGTATGCTCTTGTTGGCCGGTCCTCACTACATGTTCGTCGTCAAACCCACTGGCTCCAGGCCATCTATAAATCACTGCTAGGCAAATCGCCGCCTTATCTTAGCTCATTGGTCACCATAGCAGCACCCACCCGTAGTCTGCGCTACAGCAGGTATATCTCACTGGTCATTCCCAAAGCCAACACCTCCTTTGGCCGCCATTCCTTCCAGTTCTATGCTGCCAATGACTGGAACGAATTGCAAAAATCTCTGAGGCTGGAGACTCTTATCTCCCTCACTAACTTTAAGCATCAGTTGTCAGAGCACCTTACCGATCACTGCACATGTACACAGCCCATCGGGCATTGAAGATGAAACGTGGCTGGGTCTTTCAGCATGACAATGATCCCAAACACCGCCCGGGCAACGAAGGATTTTCTGGATTCTTTTTTCTCATTTTGTCTGTCATAGTTGACGTGTACCTATGATGAAAATTACAGGCCTCTCTAATCTTTTTAAGTGGGAGAACTTGCACAATTGGTGGTTGACTAAATACTTTTTTCCCCACTGTATGCTTAACAATGGTAACTTCAGCCTCAAAGGCAGGGAACATCAACTAGATTCAGCAGCGGGTGGTCAGGGGGCCGGAACATCCAGTAATTACCAAAAATGTCCAAGAAGCCCAAACAGATATAACATTTGACTAAAACTTAGATTACAGGGGTGCAACTTTCCCTGGGGATGGGGGGAATTGCATGTTTGTCCCCCCCCCCCCCCCCCCCCCCCCCCCCCAGTTTTATCATTGGAATGTGATACAAAACGAGGCAACGGTATGCTTTAGGACCATGTGGACGCCTCCGAGCGGTCGGGTAGGCTGTTTGGAGTATTTATCTGACTGGATAGAAATATACAGTGGGGAAAAAAAGTATTTAGTCAGCCACCAATTGTGCAAGTTCTCCCACTTAAAAAGATGAGAGAGGCCTGTAATTTTCATCATAGGTACACGTCAACTATGACAGACAAAATGAGAAAAAATAATCCAGAAAATCACATTGTAGGATTTTTTTAATGAATTTATTTGCAAATTATGGTGGAAAATAAGTATTTGGTCAATAACAAAAGTTTCTCAATACTTTGTTATATACCCTTTGTTGGCAATGACACAGGTCAAACGTTTTCTGTAAGTCTTCACAAGGTTTTCACACACTGTTGCTGGTATCTTGGCCCATTCCTCCATGCAGATCTCCTCTAGAGCAGTGATGTTTTGGGGCTGTCGCTGGGCAACACGGACTTTCAACTCCCTCCAAAGATTTTCTATGGGGTTGAGATCTGGAGACTGGCTAGGCCACTCCAGGACCTTGAAATGCTTCTTACGAAGCCACTCCTTCGTTGCCCGGGCGGTGTGTTTGGGATCATTGTCATGCTGAAAGACCCAGCCACGTTTCATCTTCAATACCCTTGCTGATGGAAGGAGGTTTTCACTCAAAATCTCACGATACATGGCCCCATTCATTCTTTCCTTTACACGGATCAGTCGTCCTGGTCCCTTTGCAGAAAAACAGCCCCAAAGCATGATGTTTCCACCCCCATGCTTCACAGTAGGTATGGTGTTCTTTGGATGCAACTCAGCATTCTTTGTCCTCCAAACACGACGAGTTGAGTTTTTACCAAAAAGTTATATTTTGGTTTCATCTGACCATATGACATTCTCCCAATCCTCTTCTGGATCATCCAAATGCACTCTAGCAAACTTCAGATGGGCCTGGACATGTACTGGCTTAAGCAGGGGGACACGTCTCGCACTGCAGGATTTGAGTCCCTGGCTGCGTAGTGTGTTACTGATGGTAGGCTTTGTTACTTTGGTCCCAGCTCTCTGCAGGTCATTCACTAGGTCCCACCGTGTGGTTCTGGGATTTTTGCTCACCGTTCTTGTGATCATTTTGACCCCACGGGGTGAGATCTTGCGTGGAGCCCCAGATCGAGGGAGATTATCAGTGGTCTTGTATGTCTTCCATTTCCTAATAATTGCTCCCACAGTTGATTTCTTCAAACCAAGCTGCTTACCTATTGCAGATTCAGTCTTCCCAGCCTGGTGCAGGTCTACAATTTTGTTTCTGGTGTCCTTTGACAGCTCTTTGGTCTTGGCCATAGTGGAGTTTGGAGTGTGACTGTTTGAGGTTGTGGACAGGTGTCTTTTATACTGATAACAAGTTCAAACAGGTGCCATTAATACAGGTAACGAGTGGAGGACAGAGGAGCCTCTTAAAGAAGAAGTTACAGGTCTGTGAGAGCCAGAAATCTTGCTTGTTTGTAGGTGACCAAATACTTATTTTCCACCATAATTTGCAAATAAATTCATTAAAAATCCTACAATGTGATTTTCTGGATTTTTTTTCCTCAATTTGTCTGTCATAGTTGACGTGTACCTATGATGAAAATTACAGGCCTCTCTCATCTTTTTAAGTGGGAGAACTTGCACAATTGCTGGCTGACTAAATACTTTTTTCCCCCACTGTATAAGCTTTGGATGCTTTACCTGCATCCCAATGATGGCATAGATGAAGAACAGCATGGCGATGAGCAGACAAACATAAGGAAGGGCCTAGAGAGAAGAAGAGATACAAAGAGATAAATATTTATTTGGTTTTCCCAATAACATACACTTTAGCAGCATACTGTAGGTCAGTGGTCACCAACCAGACTGGTCGATTGTCAAGACATTCCTAGTCGATCACCAAACATATCTGTAGAAAAGCCATAAAGGCTTGCGCACCTTTTTTTTGTGTTGCACTGTTGACGGCAGATGCACTTGATTCTGAAGCCCTGCTCACCGGGTAAGCAAAGTGTTCCCCTTTTGAACCATTTCATTTGTCTGAAAATACAAACTCTGCCTACCCGGCGGACCCGGAGATCTGTGATTAAATTGAGTGCACCTACTGTGCTGACCAATTGGATAGCTCAAGTCACTGTGCCTACCTACAGCTTCCATGACCCTGGCCACAGCAAAGTTTGATACTAGCCTATGTGAGATTTCATAATTTTTAAAAAATTGACCAGAGAGAGACTGTCAAATACAGCAAAGAGCTGCTGTTTTTATGAGTGAGTTCATGTATAAATTTTATCCAGCACTGTCAACACTGTTTATTATTCAACACTATTGCAAAACATAAAACATGCTTTTCTCTACTTCCACTCGCGCTGCAGCGGCAATGAATGAGTAACCAAGTGTATCGATAACCTTGCGTTTTTATTATTAGCAGCTCGTCGTGTCTATTTTAATATCGAAGAGTATTTCACTTTCTCTGATCATAGGGACAACATTAATTTGTGGCTTAGGCAGATGCGGTGCAACTCGAGTTTCGTCATCAGGTGGAAGACTGTCCCCTCTCTGGTCAGTCTCACCGGAGGAAAGGAAGGAGAGAACAGGGACCGTGAGACGAGGACCCTCTGTTGCTCTCTCCCTCCCTCCGCTGGGACTAATGACGTGTTCTAATAAACTGGGAACTTGGAAATCTCCGACTTCCGACTTCAGTGCGTTCCAGACAACTGTGAACTCTGGGGATAAAATGAGATCCAACTGGGTAAAATCATTTTGAACGGTCATCCAACTCGGAAATTCGGGCATCTTTCTAGAGCGTCGACTTTCCGACCGGAAGTTCACTGACATCATGATTTGACCTAGTTTTTTCAGAGTTCCCAGTTGTCTTGAAAGCACCATGACCATCAGATGCAGGTACCATCAGTCCAGTAAAATAAAAAAATTAGTTATTAGCAAATTATTTCAATTTATGCTCAGCTGTGCCTCGCAAGTGCTACACCAACTGATCTATTTTGTTATCAAAGCTCGAGTTTTGAAATATAATATGGTCTGAGAAGAACAATGTTTGCAGGCCAGGCATATAGCCAATATGCTGTGAAAATGTATTAGGCCTACTGCACAAACCTAATTCCTACAGAACTGTTTATATTAGTTTAATGATAGATCTCGGCTTGCTTTTTGACTGCGAAAGTGATCTTGACTCAGAAAAGGTTGGTGACCACTGCTGTAGGTCCATCGAAGTGTACTGGGACAAGGGACACACAAAATAAAGACAAAAAACCATTTATGTTAACAAAGTTGGATATTTTTTAAGTGGACGAAAGATGGTAAAAGTAGGGGAGAACATGGCTGACCTTAAACGATTGCACGAAGGTCCAGAGCAGGATTCGTATGGTGTAGCCCTGCCTCAACAGCTTGATCAGCCTGGCAGCCCGGAACAGCTTCAGGAAACTCATATTGAACGTGTTTATTGACTGAGATAGACAGACCACAGGAAATATAGAGAGGTGGAGAGGGCAAGGAATATACAGAAAGGAGAAGGGTCCGGGGAGAGAGAAGGTGTTAGAGAAAGGCAAAGACAGCACATAGGCAGATTGGGACATATAGAGATAGATTTGATTGAAAGGTGCTCAAGTGAACAAGTGAGTTTACAACTTTAATAGCCTAGTTTCTACTGAGAGAAAAAGCTTTACAGGACTACAAGCTCCTGGATCAGAATGGTTATAAAGTAAAGGTTAATGAGCTAGAGCGAAACATTACCTGTAAATCCACAACGATCTCAGTGATGCTGCCGAGCACGGTGATGAAGTCAAAAATGTTCCAAGTGTCTCGAAAATAGTTCTGTCAGGGGGCAAATGAACACCATTCGACAATAGCAAGGCTTCGTTCTTGAATGGAAAGGATATATCTGAACATGCTACCATGTCATTGGATCAGTTAATTACATTTTACCAACAGTTCACTAATGTCCTATTGTCTTGCTTACCACAAAACCAAAGGCCATGATCTTGAGGATACACTCCAGGGAAAAGAGAACGGTGAAGGCTGTGTTCAGGTGCTTCAATACCGTATCATACGCTGCTGGAGCGGAGTTGTACTGTAGATAAAGAGGACACAGTCAGGGTAAGACCAGATGTATCAAACAGTGAGCAGGTTGGCATTTATTGAGATGACTCATGTACTGGAGGCAGCTCTGCAGAGTGGTTACTAGCTGGCACAGCCACAAAGTCATACAATTTGATTTTAAATATAACCTAACCTTAACTTTAACCACACTGCTAACCCTAATGCCTAACTCTAACCTTAAATTAAGACCAAAAAGCAAATTTTTGTTTTAACCAATCTTTACAATATAGCCAATTTTGACTTTGCAGCAGGCCCATCTAGTAGAAACCTCTCAGTTCTGCCTCCAGGGCACAACTCATGACAATAAATGTCAACCTCCGTAGAGCGATGGCAAAGAAGAGGGTAACATATTTAATAGGAAGAGTCAGAGATGTGTAATATTAAACTGTTATCAGACAAACACGGTTACATTGGGCTTTCTCCTACGGATTAGAGACTTTGAGAGTGAAACTAGATTCTTACAAAGGCCTGCACATATTGTCATGTATAGCTGTGTTAAAAATATATAGGTTCCATACCTTCATCATGAGCACCACAGTGTTGAGGGCGATCATGACCAGCACTGTGTACTCAAACGATGGTGACACCACAAAGTGCCACAGCCGGTACTGGAAGGTCTGTCTGTTCTGAGGCATGTAGCACGTCAGGGGCTTGGCACTGATGGTAAAGTCAATGCATGCCCTCTGACGGAGAGAGAATAAAAAGAAGATAAATAAATCAGGAATTAAATTGTTACGATTATTGTGATCAATGAAAAGTGTATATCTGATTGAGTTACCAAGATGGTTATTATAGGTGAATTAATTTCATGAAATCCTGGGTAATTTTTTATTTTTAATTTTTTATTTTTAATGGAATATTGTTCCAATGGCACGTTGTGTTTGCTAATCCAAGTTTATCATTTTAAAAGGCTAACTGATCATTAGAAAATCCTTTTGCAATTATGTTAGCACAGCTGAAAACTGTTGTGTTGATTAAAGAAGCAATAAAACTGGCCTTCTTGAGACTAGTTGAGTATCTGGAGCATCAGCAATTGTGGGTTCGATTACAGGCTCAAAATGGCCAGAAACAAATAACTTTCTTCTGAAACTCGTCAGTCTATTCTTGTTCTGAGAAATGAAGGCTATTCAATGCGAGAAATTGCCAAGAAACTAAAGATCTCGTACAACACTGTGTACTACTCCCTTCACAGAACAGCGCAAACTGGCTCTAACCAGAATAGAAAGAGGAGTGGGAGGCCCCGGTGCACAACTGAGCAAGAGGACAAATACATTAGAGTGCCTAGTTTGAAAAACAGATGCTTCACAGGTCCTCAACTGGCAGCTTCATTAAATAGTACCAGCAAAACACCAGTCTCAACGTCAACAGTGAAGAGGCGACTCCGGGATGCTGACCTTCTAGGCAGAGATGCAAAGAAAAAGCCATATCTCAGACTGGCCATCTTAATCTTTTCTTTTTATTGGCCAGTCTGAGATATGGCTTTTTCTTTGCAACTCTGCCTAGAAGGTCAGCATCCCGGAGTCGCCTCTTCACTGTTGACGTTGAGACTGTTGTTTTGCGGGTACTATTTAATGAAGCTGCCTGTGAGGCACCTGTTTCTCAAACTAGACACTCTAATGTATTTGTCCTCTTGCTCAGTTGTGCACCGGGGCCTCCCACTCCTCTTTCTATTCTGGTTAGAGCCAGTTTGCGCTGTTCTGTGAAGGGAGTAGTACACAGCGTTGTACGAGATCTTCAGTTTCTTGGCAATTTCTCGCATGGAATAGCCTTCATTTCTCAGAACACGAATAGACTGACGAGTTTCAGAAGAAAGTTATTTGTTTCTGGCCATTTTGAGCCTGTAATCAAACCCACAATTGCTGATGCTCCAGATACTCAACTAGTCTCAAGAAGGCCAGTTTCGGGCTGTGCTAACATAATTGCAAAAGGGTTTTCTAATGATCAATTAGCCTTTTAAAATGATAAACTTGGATTAGCAAACACAACGTGCCATTGGAACACACGACTGATGGCCAGTCTGAGATATGGCTTTTTCTTTGCAACTCTGCCTAGAAGGTCAGCATCCCGGAGTCGCCTCTTCACTGTTGACGTTGAGACTGGTGTTTTGCGGTACTACAGTACCTTGCAAAAGTATTCATCCTCCTTGGCGTTTTTCCTATTTTGTTGCATTACAACCTGTAATTTAAATGGATTTTTATTTGGATTTCATGTAATGGACATACACAAAATAGTCCAAATTGGTGAAGTGAAATGAAAAAAAATTAATACAAAATTAATAAATAACGGAAAAGTGGTGCGTGCATATTTATTCACCCCATTTGCTATGAAGCCCCTAAATAAGATCTGGTGAAACCAATTACCTTCAGAAGTCACATAATTAGTTAAATAAAGTCCACCTGTGTGCAATCTAAGTGTCACATGATCTCAGTATATATACACCTGTTCTGAAAGGCCCCAGAGTCTGCAACACCACTAAGCAAGGGGCACCACCAAGCAAGTGGCACCATGAAGACCAAGGAGCTCTCCAAACAGGTCAGGGACAAAGTTGTGGAGAAGTACAGATCAGGGTTGGGTTCTAAAGAAATATCTGAAACTTTGAACATCCCACGGAGCACCATTAAATCCAAAATTAAAAAATGGAAAGAATATGGCACCACAACAAACCTGCCAAGAGAGGGCCGCCCACCAAAACTCACGGACCAGGCAAGGAGGGCATTAATCAGAGAGGCAACAAAGAGACCAAAGATAACCCTGAAGGAGCTGCAACGCTCCACGGCAGAGATTGGAGTATCTGTCCATAGGACCACTTTAAGCTGTATACTCCACAGAGCTGGGCTTTACGGAAGAGTGGCCATAAAAAAGCAATTTCTTAAAGAAAAAAATAAGCAAACACATTTGGTGTTCGCCAAAAGGTATGTGGGAGACTCCCCAAACATATGGAAGAAGGTATTCTGGTCAGATGAGGCTATCAAGGAAAACGCTATGTCTGGCGCAAACCCAACACCTCTCATCACCCGAGAACACCATCCCCACGGTGAAGCATGTTTGTAGCAGCATCATGCTGTGGGGATGTTTTTCATCGGCAGGGACTGGGAAACTGGTCAGAATTGAAGGAATGATGGATGGCGCTAAATACAGGGAAATTCTTGAGGGAAACCTGTTTCAGTCTTCCAGAGATTTGAGTCTGGGACGGAGGTTCACCTTCCAGCAGGACAATGACCCTAAGTATACTGCCAAAGCAACACTCGAGTGGTTTAAGGGGAAACATTTAAATGTTTTGGATAGGCCTAGTCAAATCCCAGACCTTAATCCAATTGAGAATCTGTGGTATGACTTAAAGATTGCTGTACACCAGCGGAACCCATCCAACTTGAAGGAGCTGGAGCAGTTTTGCCTTGAAGAATGGGCAAAAATCCCAGTGGCTAGATGTGCCAAGCTTATAGAGACATACCCCAAGAGACTTGCAGCTGTAATTGCTGCACAAGGTGGCTCTACAAAGTATTGACTTTGGAAGGGGTGAATAGTTATGCACACTCAAGTTTTCAGTTTTTTTGTCTTATTTCTTGTTTGTTTCACAAGAAAAAATATTTTACATCTTCAAAGTGGTAGGCATGTTGTGTAAATCAAATGATACAAACCCCCACAAAATCCATTTTAATTCCAGGTTGTAAGGCAACAAAATAGGAAAAATGCCAAGGGGGGTGAATACTTTCGCAAGCCACTGTATTTAATGAAGCTGCCAGTTGAGGACCTGTGAGGCGCCTGTTTCTCAAACTAGACACTCTAATGTATTTGTCCTCTTGCTCAGTTGTGCACCGGGGCCTCCCACTCCTCTTTCTATTCTGGTTAGCGCCAGTTTGCGCTGTTCTGTGAAGGGAGTAGTACACAGCATTGTACGAGATCTTCAGTTTCTTGGCAATTTCTCGCATAGAATAGCCTTCTTTTCTCAGAACAAGAAGTTTCAGAAGAAAGTTCTTTGTTTCTGGCCATTTTGAGCCTGTAATCGAACCCACAATTGCTGATGCTCCAGATACTCAACTAGTCTCAAGAAGGCCAGTTTTATTGCTTCTTTAATCAACACAACAGTTTTCAGCTGTGCTATCATAATTGCAAAAGGGTTTTCTAATGATCAATTAGCCTTTTAAAATGATAAACTTGGATTAGCAAACCCAACATGCCATTGGAACACAGGACTGATGGTTGCTGATAAATTCCTGACATTTAATCCTAGTAAAAATCCCCTGTCTTAGGTCAGTTAGGATCACCACTTTATTTTAAGAATGTGAAATGTCAGAATAATATTAGAGAGAATGATTTATTTCAGCTTTTATTTCTTTCATCACATTCCCAGTGGGTCAGAAGTTTACATACACTCAATTAGTATTTGGTAGCATTGCCTTTAAATTGTTTAACTTGGGTCAAACGTTTTGGGTAGCCTTCCACAAGCTTCCCACAATAAGTTGGGTGAATTTTGACCCATTCCTCCTGACAGAGCTGGTGTAACTGAGTCAGGTTTGTAGGCCTTGTTGCTCGCACACGCTTTTTCAGTTCTGCCCACAAATGTTCTATAGGATTGAGGTCAGGGCTTTGTGATGGCCACTCCAATACCTTGACTTTGTTGTCCTTAAGTGTCACTCCCTGGCCTTGAGAGACCGGTTTTCTTTAGTTGGTTTGGTCAGGGTGTGTATTTCTATGTGTACATTCTATGTTTGTAGATCTATGTTGGCCGGGTGTGGTTCCCAATCAGAGGCAGCTGTCGATCGTTGTCTCTGATTGGGGATCATACTTAGGTAGCCATTTTGCCTACCTATGTTGTGGGATCTTGACTCTTGTTTGGCTTGTTTGTGTGTAGCCATTGTGAGCTTCACGTTATGTTGCTTTTATTGTTTTGTCGTGTGTAACTTCGTTAATAAACATGTATGCATTCCACGCTGCACCTTGGGCCAATTCTGTACTCAACGAACGTGACAGAAGATTCCACCACATACGGACCAAGCAGCGTGCCCAGGAGGAGCAAACACCCTGGACACAGGTGGGGAAGATGTGGTCTTGGGAGGAGATATTTGCTGTGAAAGGACCCTGGGCGATGGTAGAAGCCCAGGTAGGAGAGGATTGACGGCGACTCCGAGAGGCAACCCCAAGAAAATGTTTTGCGGAAGCACACGGGGTGGTCGACGAAGCAGCAGGAGGCAGTGAAAGGGCTGACTGTGGAGGAGGAGGCCGCTATTGTAGAGGTCCTCCAAGACCTGCGGATCAGCAGTATGAGAGAGGAGGCCACCACATTACGGGGGCTGTTAGAGAAGAGGGAGCAGGAGCTCTCACTTCAGAAGGAGGCGCTGCAGGAGGCCCAAAGGGAGAAGGAATTTGTGGATGCACGGAGAGAGGAGCTGGCCAGGCAACAGGAGGAGCTGAGACAGGAGTTAACCCTCCTGTCAATCCTTTGGTCCTTAAATGAAACTGGTAAACTTTTTTTATTTATCACAATTTTCTTTAACCAATTATGTTCTTTAATGCAGGGCCGACAGACAAGTTCTTTACTTTTTCCCCCTTCCACTTTCCTCTTCCATTTTTGCGGTAATGCTGCTATTATTTGGTTGTAATTTTGGGTAGAGCAGACATTTCCATATGTTTTTGTTAGCTGCATGTGCGACATCACTCCACCAGTCCTACCTATGATATAATTTACGAAGATTATACCTTTTTTAAACATTCTTTAAAAAAATAATGTTTTCTTATCAATTAGTATATTTGAGTTTAACCACAATATTTGTTGCATTATTTGTTCTGTCGTTTCTGAAGGATTAAATTGAAATTGCAACCAACTTTCTATGGCTTGTTTTAGAAATAGTGATATTTGGGAGATTATTTCCTTTTCAAATAACTGAAAGTGAGAGGTTGTAATCTGAATAAAGGGAAAAAGGCCATTCTTGAACATGGGTTGAGACAATCTTACTAATTTGCTAGAGAACCAGTTCGGATTTAAGTATAACTTTTGTATGACTGAAGCTTTTAGTGATAGGTCTAATGCTTTCTGTGTTTGTATTGTAAGAATGTGTGTATGAGTTAAGTATGTTCAAGCTACAGTAGACTGGGAGTGCATTTGTATGCCGCTTTTCTGTCCTGTACCTCGTTCTTCTCCAAGCTGCACTCCTCCATCATCTTATCCCCCTGTTCCTGGAAGGTGATGATGATGAGAGCGACGAAGATGTTGACAAAGAAGAAAGGGAAGACCACGAAGTAGACGACGTAGAAGATGGACATCTCCATCCTGTTGCCCCGACTTGGACCCCTGTCCTCCTCTGTCACGTCCACAGAATGCTGCAGGACCCTGGAGAGAGAGAGAGAGAGAGAGAGAGAGAGAGAGAGAGACTAATATCAAAACGGTCTCTCTGAATCCCCTATCAAATGGCATTCATTTGGTGTTAGAGCATACACTCTTAGAAAAAAAGGTGCTATTTAGAACCTAAAAGGGTTCTTCGGCTGTCCCCATAGGAGAACCGTTTGAAGAGTCCTTTTTGGTTCCAGGTAGAACCCTATTGGTTGCAGGAAGAACCCTTTTGGGTTCCATGAAGAACCATTTTCACAGAGGGTTCTACATGGAAACCAAAAGCATTCTACCTGGAACCAAAAAGGGTTCTATCTGGAACAAAAAAGGGTTATCCTATGGGGACAGTCGAAGAACCCTTTTGGAACCCTTTTTTCTAAGAGTATAGTGCTGGGAACATCAGGGACTCACTGCGGCCAGCCCTCTCCTGTGGAAACGGTGAAGAGGGTGAGCAGAGCCCAGCAGACATTGTCATAGTGGAACTCATGTCTCTTCCACTCCCTCTTCTTCAATTCCTTCTTGTCTCGAGCATAGTCTATGTAGTAACCTCTGTAGGAAACAGAATGGAGGTTAGGGGACAGAGCCAGAGGTTGGGATTCCTCTGATCACTCACAAAATGGGTGGTGTGTGGATGATCACGACTTAATTATATTTATTTCTTCATTAGATTATGAAGAGATAAATTAGTAAGATCAATGTGTTGTATGTCTTTGTTTATTCCAGTGGGTGTACTGTAAGTGGGGGCAGCAGTCAGTGTGTATATCTGTGTGTTTGACTCACTGGCACTCCTTCTCTGTGTCAATGGAGCTGTCGGTGCAATAGAAGAACTTTCCCTTGAAGAGCTGCACGGCGATGACAGCGAAGATGAACATGAAGAGCTTGTAGACGATGAGGATGTTGAAGACGTTCTTCAGGGACGTCACCACACAGTCAAACACTGCCTGTATAGGAGGAGGAGAGATGATAACATAATGACATGGTAGCACAGATCGAAGGTAAAAACCCACATTCACTGGAAATTCCTTGAAAGATTTCATTCATTTTAATGAAGAAGCCAAGGTCAACTAAACATTGACATGTTGGCAGATGAATATATATGAACATATACACAGTACAGTACCTTGAGTTTGGGGAGTCTCTTGATGGTCTTCAGAGGTCGTAGGACTCTCAGGACCCTGAGGGACTTGATGGTCTTGATGTCTCTGCCTTTGTGGTTCCTGTTGATATAGAGATGTGTTTTAGTGTACTGTGGGGACAGAAGACACACATGCATGCACGCACACATGCACGAGCGAGTGCACGTACACACGCACACACACACACATTAACAAAAAATATCTCCATCTTTTGATGAAAAACAATACTATAAAGAAGATTACCAGAGTAATATGAATTCATTTGTATTCAGTACTTTAAAGTTTCGTAGCTGAGTGAGAAGTATCTGACAAAAGACATGGTGAATTGTGTACAAGAAGTATGGGAAGTACATGAGAATTCTATGAGAAGTGTATGACAAATTGTACATGACAAGTATGAGAGTGAGAAGTGTTTGCTTTACCCAATCACATTCCTGGAAGCCCCAACAGTGATAAATTCCCCAGGAACAACAGAGAAATAGAAGCATAAATAGAGATACACAATGAGGATCACAGTTACAGCTATATCCACAACAGAGAAATCAACACACAGTCATAAGTATATACACTGCTCAAAAAAATAAAGGGAACACTATAATAACACATCCTAGATCTGAATGAATGAAATAATCTTATTAAATACTTTTTTCTTTACATAGTTGAATGTGCTGACAACAAAATCACACAAAAATTATCAATGGACATCAAATTTATCAACCCATGGAGGTCTGGATTTGGAGTCACCCTCAAAATTAAAGTGGAAAACCACACTACAGGCTGATCCAACTTTGATGTATTGTCCTTAAAATGAGTCAAAATGAGGCTCAGTAGTGTGTGTGGCCTCCACGTGCCTGTATGACCTCCCTACAACGCCTGGGCATGCTCCTGATGAGGTGGCGGATGGTCTCCTGAGGGATCTCCTCCCAGACCTGGACTAAAGCATCCGCCAACTCCTGGACAGTCTGTGGTGCAATGTGGCGTTGGTGGATGGAGCGAGACATGATGTCCCAGATGTGCTCAATTGGATTCAGGTCTGGGGAACGGGCGGGCCAGTCCATAGCATCAATGCCTTCCTCTTGCAGGAACTGCTGACACACTCCAGCCACATGAGGTCTAGCATTGTCTTGCATTAGGAGGAACCCAGGGCCAACCGCACCAGCATATGGTCTCACAAGGGGTCTGAGGATCTCATCTCGGTACCTAATGGCAGTCAGGCTACCTCTGGCGAGCACATGGAGGGCTGTGCGGCCCCCCAAAGAAATGCCACCCCACACCATGACTGAACCACCGCCAAACCGGTCATGCTGGAGGATGTTGCAGGCAGCAGAATGTTCTCCACGGCGTCTCCAGACTCTGTCACGTCTGTCACATGTGCTCAGTGTGAACCTGCTTTCATCTGTGAAGAGCACAGGGCGCCAGTGGCGAATTTGCCAATCTTGGTGTTCTCTGGCAAATGCCAAACGTCCTGCACGGTGTTGGGCTGTAAGCACAACCCCCACCTGTGGATATCGGGCCCTCATACCACCCTCATGGAGTCTGTTTCTGACCGTTTGAGCAGACACATGCACATTTGTGGCCTGCTGGAGGTCATTTTGCAGGGCTCTGGCAGTGCTCCTCCTGCTCCTCCTTGCACAAAGGCGGAGGTAGCAGTCCTGCTGCTGGGTTGTTGCCCTCCTACGGCCTCCTCCACGTCTCCTGATGTACTGGCCTGTCTCCTGGTAGCGCCTCCATGCCATGGACACTACGCTGACAGACACAGCAAACCTTCTTGCCACAGCTCGCATTGATGTGCCATCCTGGATGAGCTGCACTACCTGAGCCACTTGTGTGGGTTGTAGACTCCGTCTCATGCTACCACTAGAGTGAAAGCACCGCCAGAATTCAAAAGTGACCAAAACATCAGCCAGGAAGCATAGGAACTGGGAAGTGGTCTGTGGTCACCACCTGCAAAACCAGTCCTTTATTGGAGGTGTCTTGCTAATTGCCTATAATTTCCACCTGTTGTCTATTCCATTTGCACAACAGCATGTGAAATGTATTGTCAATCAGTGTTGCTTCCTAAGTGGACAGTTTGATTTCACAGAAGTGTGATTGACTTGGAGTTACATTGTGTTGTTTAAGTGTTCCCTTTATTTTTTTGAGCAGTGTATAAGGCAGGGGAGAAGCACAAGTTAATTAATCTCGCAACCCAGAACTAAATCTTGTGAGCGCTAGCTAGCTACTTGATTACGTTATTAGTCTGTTAGCCTACAAGAGACTGAAAGTTAATTAACATGTTCACCTGTCAGAGGGGAAAGGGTTAAAACAAAGACATAGGAAATGTAATATTTATATCACTGCATGAGGCATCAACCAGAAGATGCATGTCAGACACTTAGTTTTATATATTTTGAGATTTGCTACAGTGCAGTATATAAAGATGTGAGTCGGTGAGTCAGTGTGATTACTAATCCAGCACCAGAAGCGTTGTGACTCACGTCAGAGCGAAGGCGATCAGAGCTCCCACCACCACGATGAAGTCCAGAATATTCCACAGGTCACGGAAGTAGGAGCCGTCGTGCAGAAGTAGGCCCAGGTCAATCATCTGGAGGACACACGCACACATACACACGACAACATAGATACACAACCACACACACGCACGTGCCCACACACACACAACATAGATACACATAAACACAAACACACACACACAAAAGACAACATAAGTTACTACACTAAAAACAATGTTACAAGTGTATTTCTGTGCATAGTTTTAGGAGGTTCATAATTGATCATTTCTCTTTGAGTATCTCACCTTTATGATCATTTCAAACGTGAAGACTCCAGTAAAGACGTAATCAAAGTAACGGAGAACCTAGAAAAGCAAACACATCCAACAATTATGTGAGAGGAAATACACATCTTCACGTCACTGATACAAACATTCCAAAATCATATTGAACTTACCCTGTTTCTGTCAGAATTGGTGCACACAGGGTCTTCAGCAGCCAGAGCGATGCTGCTAGCCACGATCACCAGCAAGATGGTCATCTCAAAGTAGCGCATGGTCACCACATAGTGACAGATCCTCCTGATCCTACAGATCAAAAAAGAGGAGTTGACAGTATCAGATACACTAATGGTCGCTCATACACTCTCAGAAAAAAAGGTACAGAATTGTACTTAAAGGGGTACAAACGCTTGCCACTGTAGTGGTACCCTCTAAGGTATGCCCATTGTACCATTAGTTATAGGTACATAATTGTACCCTTGCAGTTTGTACCTTAAAAGAGCCAATTGTGTACCTTTGGGGATAAGATAGAAAAAGGTACAAATGTGCCTTTATAGGGTACCACCAGTGACAAAGCCGTTTGTTCCTTTTAAGTGCCAAACATGTGCATCTTCTCTATACCAAGTCCCTCACATGTACACACCTCTCTGCCATCCTAATTCTGACACAAATGTAGCGAATTCAGAGGGTAGCCCTGACCAGGACTTGAACCTGAGTCCAGCAACTGTCAAGCCAACACCTTAACCATTAGGTCTCTCAGTGTTATAATATAATAATAATAATAATATGCCATTTAGCAGACGCTTTTATCCAAAGCGACTTACAGTCATGTGTGCATACATTTTTACGTATGGGTGGTCCCGGGGATCGAACCCACTACCCTGGCGTTACAAGCGCCATGCTCTACCAATTGAGCTACAGAGGATTAAAGGGTTAAAGCCAGACACCACACCCTAATAGGGTATTTTTTTCCATTAATCATATCACAATCAACTTTTACCAGTTGAATGTGGACACAAATATAATACTTTTTTGTATTACACATTTTCAGAACTATTGAATGCAAATTAGGTAATATTTAATTAAATATGCGCATATTTTCTAAATTTTGTCAAGACACTTCAGGACCGGACTTTGACATAGCAGATTGTGGATAAATATGTTTTTCATCTTCTATCAGTAAAATACTAAAGAAAGGTACGTAAAATGAATTTGTGTCGAATTTTTGGGAAGAAAATGTAATCTAAAATAAACATTTAACAACATATCAACAATTTCCTATGAATAAATCTGGAGAATAAGTCTAAAGTGAAGTGTCTTGACTAAATTTGGTGAATTCAGATGCTTCTAAGGCTGAGAAAAATTTGTTGGCGTATGGGAAGAGTCTGACTTTCGGGAAATGGCAGTTACAGACAAGTACACTGAATTTAGACTATCAAACGCCAAACACCTATTTAGACCCAATCACCATCTTTTCAAAGTAAGTTACCACATTTAGTCCAGTTTGTAACATTCTCTATGAAATGGGCTTTTAAATGATGTGTGATTCAATGTTGAGAGCTTTGAAATTATGGAAATTATTACATGTGCGGTCGTCGTCGGGTGAGGTTGTGTCTCTCTCTGGCGGGAGGTAAGCTTGGCTTATATGGCTTATATACATAGTTTGGGCTTTGTCGAGTAAAGCTTAAACTATGTATTTAGATTGTAGTTAGGTATTGTAGGTAGTTATCGTGGGTTGTTGTATATAATTATTGTAGGTTAGTATTGTATTCGGCTGAGCCCGGTGAAGCACAAAGCTAGCTAACCCACTACCTGGACTAGCTAGCGGGTAGCTACTGGTAACTATTAGCAACTGTGGATAGTTGTTTCACGCCTGAGAGTACCTGTATTTACGCCAGCTAGCTGCCTACAATAATTACATACAATAATGTCTACCATTCAGCTGTTTTTCTAACCTCATTGTCTGAAGCGTTAACGTTAGGTAGTAAGTGGCTACTGTGCTTGAAATGTAGCTAGCTTGTTGCTACCTGGATAGCTACTAAACAATAGCTGGAACGACCTAGCGAACAGACGCGAACTGGCTGAGTCAATACAGTGGCTAGCTTTGCACTTGGCTAGCTAACAGTAGCTGCTAGGGGTAAGTTATAACCTACATTTGTGTTTTGTTTTTACATACTGATAGCCAGAGTCGTTCAAGTGAATTCGGGACATGGGTGACTAGTTAACGTTAGCTTGGCTCTCTCTGTGTGTTCGTGCCGTGGGAGGAGGGGTTTCTTCGTTGGCAGAAAGCAATGGCTAGCTAGTATGCTAACTATTCTAGCTAACTAACTGGATGAATAAGTTGACGACGGACTCGCTCAAGCTGTCGGGACTAACCCACAACGTTAGACACGGACACAAATGATCTGCTTGGCGTGTTGACACACTGGTGGTTTGTTGTGGCCGAGTATTGGTGCTAAACCGTGTTGTTGGAGTCCGGCATGCTAGTTGGCTGTGGCGTCATATGACTAGGTGCCCTGGACGGTTTTCACGGAAGAATACTGTACCAAGTTAGCTAGCTGAATAAACTAAGTTAGTCTATTCCTAGAAAACATTGAACCGCTGTAGTTTACAACAATTATAGTTTCTGAGGTGGAAGTTGGGAGAGTTATATTTGGGTGTTTCAGTGAAACGTAAGTGAGGGAGGCCCCGCTCTCTCGCTTTCCCAGATGTTTAGTTCATTTCATTCCAATCTCCTTTGCATTATTGTAGCCATTTTCTGTAGCCTGTCAACTATGCCTCTGTCTATCCCTGTTCTCTCCTCTCCGCACAGGCTATACAAACGCCTCACACCGCGTGGCTGCTGCCTCTCTAACCTGGTGGTCCCTGCACGCACCACCCACGTGGAGTTCCAGGTCTCCGGCAGCCTCTGGAACTGCCGTTCTGCGGCCAACAAGGCAGAGTTCATCTCAGCCTATGCTACCCTCCAGTCCCTCGACTTCTTGGCGCTGACGGAAACATGGATTACCACTGAAAACACTGCTACTCCTACTGCTCTCTCCTCGTCTGACCATGTGTTCTCGCATACCCCGAGAGCATCTGGTCAGCGGGGTGGTGGCACAGGAATCCTCATCTCTCCCATGTGGACATTCTCTCTTTTTCCCCTGACCCATCTGTCTATCTCCTCATTTGAATTCCATGCTGTCACAGTCACTAGCCCATTCAAGCTTAACATCCTTGTCATTTATCGCCCTCCAGGTTCCCTTGGAGAGTTCATCAATGAGCTTGACGCCTTGATAAGTTCCTTTCCTGAGGATGGCTCACCCCTCACAGTTCTGGGTGACTTCAACCTCCCTACCTCTACCTTTGACTCATTTCTCTCTGCCTCCTTCTTTCCACTCCTCTCCTCTTTTGACCTCACCCTCTCACCGTCCCCCCCTACTCACAAGGCAGGCAATACGCTTGACCTCACCTTTACTAGATGCTGTTCTTCTACTAATCTCACTGCAACTCCCCTCCATGTCTCCGACCACTACTTTGTATCATTTTCTCTCTCGCTCTCCTCCAACACTACTCACTCTGCCCCTACTCAGATAGTAATGCACCGTCGCAACTTTCGCTCTCTCTCTCCCGCTACTCTCTCCTCTTCCATCCTATCATCTCTTCCCTCTGCTCAATCCTTCTCCCTCCAATCTCCTGATTCTGCCTCCTCAACCCTCCTCTCCTCCCTTTCTGCATCCTTTGACTCTCTATGTCCCCTATCCTCCCGGCCGGCTCGGTCCTCCCCTCCTGCTCTGTGGCTTGTCGACTCATTGCTAGCTCACAGAACAGGGCTCCGGGCAGCCGAACGGAAATGGAGGAAAACTAGACTCCCTGCGGACCTGGCATCTTTTCACTCCCTCCTCTCTACATTTTCTTCATCTGTTTCTGCTGCTAAAGCCACTTTCTAGGAAGCTCTTTGCCACCTTCTCCTCCCTGCTGAATCCTCCTCACCCCCCCCCCCCCCCCCCCCCCCCCCCCTCTGTGGATGACTTCGTCAACCATTTTGAAAAGAAGGTTGACGACATCCAATCCTCGTTTGTTAAGTCAAATGACACTGCTGGTCCTGCTCACACTGCCCTACCCTATGCTTTGACTTCTTTCTCCCCTCTCTCTCCAGATGAAATCTTGCGACTTGTGACGGCCGGCCGCCCAACAACCTGCCCGCTTGACCCTATCCCCTCCTCTCTTCTCCAGACCATCTCCGGTGACCTTCTCCCTTACCTCACCTCGCTCATCAACTCATCCTTGACCGCTGGCTATGTCCCTTCCGTCTTCAAGAGAGCAAGAGTTGCACCCCTTCTCAAAAAACCAACACTCGATCCCTCTGACGTCAACAACTACAGACCAGTATCCCTTCTTTCTTTTCTCTCCAAAACTCTTGAGCGTGCCGTCTTTAGCCAACTCTCTTGCTATCTCTCTCAGAATGACCTTCTTGATCCAAACCAGTCAGGTTCCAAGACTGGTCATTCAACTGAGACTGCTCTTCTCTGTGTCACGGAGGCTCTCCGCACTGCTAAAGCTAACTCTCTCTCCTCTGCTCTTGTGTTTCTAGACCTGTCTGCTGCCTTTGATAATGTGAACCATAAGATCCTCCTCTCCACCCTCTCCGAGGTGGGCATCTCCGGCGCGGCTCACTCTTGGATTGCGTCCTACCTGACAGGTCGCTCCTACCAAGTGGCGTGGCGAGAATCTGTCTCCGCACCACGTGCTCTCACCACTGGTGTCCCCCAGGGCTCAGTTCTAGGCCCTCTCCTATTCTCGCTATGCACCAAGTCACTTGGCTCTGTCATATCCTCACATGGCCTCTCCTATCATTGCTATGCAGACGACACACAACTAATCTTCTCCTTTCCCCCTTCTGATAACCAGGTGGCGAATCGCATCTCTGCATGTCTGGCAGACATATCAGTGTGGATGACGGATCACCACCTCAAGCTGAACCTCGGCAAGACGGAGCTGCTCTTCCTCCCGGGGAAGGACTGCCCGTTCCATGATCTCGCCATCACGGTTGACAACTCCATTGTGTCCTCCTCCCAGAGTGCGAAGAACCTTGGCGTGACCCTGGACAACACCCTGTCGTTCCCCGCTAACATCAAGGCGGTGACCCGATCCTGTAGGTTCATGCTCTACAACATTCGGAGAGTACGACCCTGCCTTACACAGGAAGCGGCACAGGTCCTAATCCAGGCACTTGTCATCTCCCGTCTGGATTACTGCAACTCGCTGTTGGCTGGGCTCCCTGCCTATGCCATTAAACCCCTACAACTCATCCAGAATGCCGCAGCCCGTTTGGTGTTCAACCTTCCCAAGTTCTCTCACGTCACCCCACTCCTCCGCACACTCCACTGGCTTCCAGTTGAAGCTCGCATCTGCTACAAGACCATGGTGCTTGCCTACGGAGCTGTGAGGGGAACGGCACCTCCGTACCTTCAGGCTCTGATCAGTGCCTACACCCAAATGAGGGCATTGCGTTCATCCACCTCTGGCCTGCTGGCCCCCCTACCTCTGCGGAAGCACAGTTCCCGCTCAGCCCAGTCAAAACTGTTCGCTGCTCTGGCACCCCAATGGTGGAACAAGCTCCCTCACGACGCCAGGACAGCGGAGTCACTCACTACCTTCTGGACACACTTGAAACCCCACCTCTTTAAGGAATACCTGGGATAGGATAAAGTAATCCTTCTACCCCCCCCCCCTTAACCCACCCCCCCAAAAAATAAAATAATAATAATAATAATATTGTAAAATGGTTATCCCACTGGCTATAAGGTGAATGCAGCAATTTGTAAGTCGCTCTGGATAAGAGCGTCTGCTAAATGACGTAAATGTAAATGTAAATGTATGTCCATTTAAAAGTGTTTACAATTCATTACATTTTGATGATGGTAGTACAATAAACTAATGCAAATATACATTGTCATCAACTTTTTTACATTTTAATTTTAACTTTTTGAAATTACTAATATTATTGGACCAAAAAAGCAAAAAATCGATAAGTAGATTTTCAAATGTAATTTTATCCTGTAGTACCTGGCCTTAAGGTCACTACAATTTGGATTAATGCATTTTATTGTCACATGCTCTTATGTAAGCCTTTATAAAGACTTCAGGACTGGCAGCGGACATGCTAAAAGTCTTATTTACATAACCATAGACCACTTAAACTTGTACAACACTTCCACTCATGTGTGGCCAAAAATAACTTACTGAAAGCCACACCCGCACTGTGTGTAATTGTACCTTTATATTCAAAATATTGGGTACAAAAATGTACCATACTAAATTATCCACACATGTACCCTAAAAGGTACGGAACGGTGAGATCATATGTGACCGACCGACATGATTCGGTCTAATGTAGCAACATTTGAAATTGTGTTTTTTACATTGGATAAAAGTAGAGACTCAGAGCTAGAACATTAAATAAATAATTGGTCATTTAGCAGACGCTCTTATCCAAGGATTACAGGAGCAATAATGTAAGGCACCGACAGATTTCCTAGCCCAGAAGCATTTGTTTCAAAGTAACATAAGCTTGTATATCATACACTACAGTTGAGGAACAATGGGAAAGTAATTCTGCTTTGAAAGTTGATAAACTTGTAACCTCAATTTTGAAAAAATGGCATTTGAATGTTTTGGTATATCTACTGGAGAGCATCATTCACACCCTCTTAAGCTTTAGCCCCACCCATCTCTTTAAAGGTTGATCCGAGCGTTCTGTCCTAACAACAGCAGTCAAGCAACCAAGCTAACTGGCTAACGTTGGCTAGCTTGCTAGCTGCTTCCAGACACAAATGAGAGAACAGCTCACTCTGACCATTTTACTCGCCCTAGCAGAGCTAGTTAGGCTGTTTTTATGTTATCCAGAGCGTTGGTGACTGCAACTGTGCTGCTGGAAACAATTTACATTTTTTTGCCAACGTTTACTGACATGGCCATATTCAACGGGTGTTGAGCGTTCGTAAATTCGTCAGTTATTCTGTGCTCTGGCACACTCAGACGAGAGCGAATTTGCTAGCTAAGTCTATCAACAGTTGTTGCAGTGACATCCTTAACATTCTATTGAAATGGTTACTTGCATAGTGGAGTCTTTTGTTAAGACATGTAGCTAGCTAGCTAAACAATTAACCATAATCCTAATTCATAATGTTACTACCCTACATGAATCTGCAGGTAGCTAACCAACCAGGTTCAATGTTAGCTAGCTAACTTAGGTTATAACTAGCAAAGCAAATGGCTCTGAGATATGAATAATATTACTACACAGATCATACACGTAACGTTAGCTAGCGAGCCAGCCAACATTAGCTAGCTAGCTAACAGTACACTTTAACTTGAAATGAAAATGACTTTCTGACTAAATTAGAAACATCATATCTGAAAATGTAGCTAGCTAGACTATCTTAACCGTATACATGGATGTACGCTTCTCCCTCTCTGTCATGGATGCCATGGTTGCCCTTAGTTTGAAGATGTAATCCGGAGACAGGTGTTTTCTCCATCTCCTTAGCTTTCATACTCTAATTCCACTGATTTCAAAACTCGGTCCTCCAGAAAGTGGAGAGCAACACTTATGCAGTTCTACTACGTGATATATATATTTTTAAGCCGCGTTAGACAGGATTACCTACACATACTGACCAGCTCAAATAGACAGAAGCGTGCTACATGGCAGACCAATCCGAACTCATCTCTCGGCATGTCCAGCCCACTCATTATCTCAGCCAATCATGGCTAGCGGGAAGGTTGCTGTCTTTTCTGTGGCTAAACCAACTAGGCTCGTAATTTAACCATTTTAATTGTATTTACAGATGGCATACAAGTTTGTTATTAAGGCACATGAAAGTTCACATGTTCCAGAAGGCATTTCTGCCAAAAAACTAATTTTTATATTTTTTAAAGGTTTACATTCAAATGGCTCTCCTGTGAAGTAGTGACGCGTAATATACACCTAGTTTCCTGAAACGAGTCACATATGTGTACCTCTGAAGACACATTATGTGGATTTTTATATTTTTGTACCCTAGGGAACAATACTGTACCCTAACCATACCCTTTTTTTCTGAGAGTGAGAGTGCTGTACAGCTACAGTGCATGAGGGAGTGTGTGCAGAGAGAGAAACACAATAGCCTATGTATACTAAAAGGGATCAGAGAAACGTGTTTCTGAGTCCTTCCATAAAACTGAACTGAATTGATTAGTACCGCACTAGAATGCATGCCAAGACATGGGCAGGAAGGGGAGTCTTACGGATTGGATGCCTTGAAGAGGAACATGCTGTCAGGAGGTACAGGTTTGGGAGGGCTGGCCTCCTCCTCCTCCTCCTCCTGCGCCTCCTCCTGCTTTTCCTTCTCCTTCTCCTTCCTCTCAGGCTGGTACACCTCCATCTCTTTGCTGCTGTGTAAAGCTAAAAGTAAATTGAAGATAAAACCTGTTATTTGACCTGGCTCCTGCCAAGCATGGCAAAACAAGTCCATCGTTATCGTTACCATCCTTTTTCCAGCAGGAAACGGTACAGAACAATGAATGGCAATTACATTGCTTTCAATGAACTAGAATGTTTCAGCTACGAATTTCGGTCAAGAGCGACTATATGGAAGCATACCTGTCACAGGGATGATCTCCAGCAGTGGCTGTTCTCCAGACATCTCTATGATCACACTAGTCTGGCTGTCTAGGCCTTGGCCTGGCTCCTCACCCTTCTCACGGTTCAGGGTGTCCGGGTTGTTCTCCGAATCATTGACGCCGGATGCCGCCTGGAGCTCTGGGGGGTCTGTGGACTGTTCTGGAGCTGGCTCCACTGCAGGGTCCTGAGACAGGGGCTCACACTGCCCAGTTTCCCCCACCTCGCCCTCCTCCATCTGGGGTGGAGGGTCCAGCAGGGGTGGGGGTAGGGACTCAGGGAAGTCATCACATAGGGGAGGCTCAGGGATGTCTGCAATACACACTCTGAAGAGGAGGTGTATGGAAGAGAATGTGTGGATGTGTTTAGACACCTAATTTGGGCCTGAAGTCTTATCTCACGAATCAAAATGCCTTAACCCTTAGCGTAAAATAATGGAACCTAGCACCACCGTCTTACCTCAGATGCTCTTCTTCACTCTCTAAGTTGATAATGCTGGCTCCTCCTTCGTCCTGGCCCGACACTCCTCCCTCCACCTCAGCAACCTCTCCTTTTTCCCCCTTCTTCTCTTTTTCTTCCTTCTCCTCCCTCTCTTCTAGTATCTTCCTCTCGCGGCTGCCTGATTCGCTGACCTCCTCCTGTGGGGACTCTCTGCTCTTGGCCTCAGCCCGGGCCTCACGATGGCGGTGCCTCCTATGCCGCGCCGCCCCTCCCTCCTCCGCCCCCCCAGGGCCAGGCCTGAACTTCCGGGCCACCCTGTGCCTCCTGTCCCCACCGGCGGGGCGATGGTTCACCGCTCTCTCCTCAGCCAATGTAAACAGAGGCATAGGCTCAGAGTCTGGAGGTTCCGGCAGCGGGATGGCGATGGACATCGGGGGTTCAGGCATGGGCATGATCCCGGACATGGGCGACTCGGGCAGGTGACCGGGGCTGGCGTCTGGGGAAAGGGTGGGGGCGCGGTATGCGGTGGTAGGGGTGTCAGTGGTGTCCTCGGTGGGGCTGCCTCCAAACAGCACCTCCTGGCTCTCCATCTGGCGCCGCTTGCGTAGCTGGTTGGCCCTCTGCTCCCACACGGATCTTCCGCCTCTTCCTCCTCCTCCTCCTCCTCCCCCCCTCCTCCGTCTGTCACGGCGGTTGGAGAAGGCGTTGGCGCCGTTGGGGGGTTGGTCGTCTCCGCCTGCGGCGCCGCTCTCCTCCTCCTCTTCGGGGACAGCCATACGGCCCCTGTGGATGGCCTTCTTCCTGCGGAGGTAGGGCCGCCTCCTCCTCCTATTGAGCACAACACAAAGCCTGTCACTAGAGGGCAGCATCACGCCCACATCATATGTACACTTACAGTATCAATGAAAGGATGCATCTCAACACTAAATACAGTATAAACATACTACATATTATATAACATTGTATGTATGCATGTATGTAAGTCAATAATGAAGTACGAAAATAGCATGACAGAGCAATTTGCTATTAACATTTTGAATCAGATATGTTGCATATTGTATGGCTAAAGATGAATTGAATTCACATATTGCATTATCATCTAAATAAAACAAACACCATAAATTCAATTGAAATTCAAATGATGAAAATACCTGGGAAGAAAGCACACAAACTCAAAAAGTCACAAAAACAAAAAGGAATGGCGCAGAATTAAAATAGGGAAATACTGTGATATCTAGAAATGAACTTCTTCTTCTAAGATAAAGGAAACTGAATTAGGTGTGACAGGGGTACAGACAGACACCTTTACTTACGGGTGTTCAAACTCTTTTGTAGTCCATGTAATCAATGAGTGATTGGTTGAAAACAAGACATTAGTGTTTTTGGAACAAAGACAGAACAGAACAATCCTTGTGACACAGTCCAAAACCAGGTCAAGGGTCAAGGCCAATTGTCAACAGACGTCACCTTAATGCCAGTCTAGTATATTTGGTTATATCTTATTTTATTTGTCTTATAATTATGTTTGTATATTTGGCATGGGGATTTGGCTTTGAAGGCTTGATAAATGGATCCAAATCCTGTTCAATCATTATTTCCTAAGTAGTGACAGTGGATGCTTATACATCTTATCCGATAACAGTGGTTATCCAAGTTACAAATTGTTTCACCTTGACCGTACAGGGGCAGTGGTAGAATTTAGACTTCTATATTTTGTAATATCTATTTTGGTCAGTGCCACATAACAGGCATAGAGTAACAAGACAACATGATGGAAGCAGCATTACATAACATTACACCATAGTACAGTATACGTATCAAAAGCGGCGCCATCTTGATAGCTCTGAAACACATAGGACTGACACTCAAATATGTAGTAACAGACAAATGACACAGTCAGTGTAACGTGCCTGGAGAAGATCAGAGGACAGTACAATCCATGCATCCTTTTCCCCCCTACCTGTACCTGTTACAGAGGGAGCAGAATGGTTGGTGGTGCTTATACACTAAGCACATACTATGTTTATACTCTACAATTGCCCTGTCATTTGGTTTAATTTACCTGTTGACTGACATGCACAAATAAACAAATTCTAAATAAATAAAAACATGCATGTATGACTGGCCTGTTATCTTTCTTAATTTACCTGTTGAATGACATGCTCAAATAAACAAAACAAAAGTCAATTCTAATTAAAATCATGCATTTTCATTAGCAAGTCCCCAGAACAACATCAGATGTTGTCACGCCCTGACTCTGGGGACTCTTATTTGTTGAGTCAGGGTGTGATTTTCTATGTTGTGTTGTTCTATGTTATAGGTTCTAGTATGGGTATTTCTATGTCGGCCGGTGTGGTTCCCAATCAGAGGCAGCTGTCGCTCGTTGTCTCTGATTGGGGACCATACTTAGGCAGCCTATTGGCACTAGTGGGTTGTGGGATCTTGTTCCGTGTGAGGTTTGTTGTGTGTACCTTAGGACGTCACGTATCGTTGGTTTATTGTTTTGTCGTTGTGTTTATTCGTTAAATAAACATGTTTGCATATCACGCTGCGCCTTGGTCCGACCCGTTCATCAACGAACGTGACAGAAGATCCCACCAAACGAGGACCAAGCAGCGTGCCCAGGCGGAGCGAAGGGCCATGTCACAGGTGGGCAAATTGGGGTCATGGGAAGAGATATTTGCGGGGAAAGGACCATGGGCTAAGGTAGATGCCCAGGCAGGAGAGGAGCAACGGCAACACGGAGGAGGCCGGTCAAGGAGGAAGCCCGAGAGGCAGCCCCAATAAAAAAATTTGGGGGGGCACACGGGGTGGTTGGCGGAGCCTAGGGTTAGAGCAGAGCCAACTCCTCGTACTCACGCGAGGAAGCGTATGACTGGGCAAGCTCCGTGTTATGCGGAGCTACGTACTGTGTCACCAGTGCGCCGGCACAGTCCTGTACGTCCTGTGCTTGCACCACGCACGTGCCGTGCGAAGATGGGCATCCAGCCAGGACGGGGTGTGCCGGCTCAACGCTCCTGGTCTCCAGTACGCCTCCTCGGTCCCGCATATCCTGCGGCAGTTCTACGAGCTGTATCGCCTGTACGCGTGCACAGCCCAGTGCGTCCTGTGCCAACACCCCACACGTGTAGTGTGAAAGTGGGTAGCCAGCCAGGACGGGTTGTGCCAGCTCTCCGCTCCAGACCTCCAGTCCGCCTTCGCAGTCCGGTCCGGCCCGTTCCTGCTCCTCGCACCAAGCCAGTGGTGCGCGTCGCCAGCCCGGTCCGGCCTGTTCCTGTCCCTCGCACCAAGCCAGTGTTGCGCGTCGCCAGGCCGGCCCGGCCTGTTCCTGCCCCTCGCACCAAGCCAGTGGTGCGCGTCGCCAGCCCGGCCCGGCCTGTTCCTTCCCCTCGCACCAAGACAGTGGTGCGCGTCGCCAGCCCGGTCCGGCCTTCTGTCCTCGCACCACCAGTGTTGCGCGTCGCAGCCCGGCCCGGCCTGTTCCTGTCCCTCGCACCAAGCCAGTGGTGCGTGTCGCCAGTCCGGCCCAGCCTGTTCCTGCTCCTCGCACCAAGACAGTGGTGCATGTTCCTAGTCCGGTTCGGCCCGTGCCTGCTCCTCGCACCAGACCAGTGGTGAGTGTGTCCAGTCCGGCACGGCCCGTGCCCGTTCCACCGGTGCCTGGTCCGGCACCAGTCAGCAGCTCCAGTCCGGAGCCAGAGTAGTCCGCTCCACCAGTGCCTGATCCAGCTCCGGTAAGCTGCTCCAGTCCGGAGCCAGAGCAGTCCGCTCCACCGGTTCCTGATCCAGCTCCGGTCAGCTGCTCCACTCCGGAGCCAGAGCAGTCCACTCCACCGGGGTCCAGTCCAGCTCCGGTCAGCGGCTCCACTCCGGAGCCAGAGCAGTCCGCTCCACCGGTGCCTGATCCAGCTCCGGTCAGCGGCTCCACTCCGGAGCCAGAGCAGTCCACTCCACCGGTGCCTAGTCCAGCTCCGGTCAGCGGCTCCAGTCCGGAGCCTGAGCAGTCCGCTCCACCGGTGCCCGGTCCAGCTCCGGTCAGCGGCTCCAGTCCAGACCCAGACGTCAGCCCCTCTCCATGTTCGGGGTCTCCCACACCAGGGTCCAGACAGGGCTTGGAGTATAGTGGGAGGAAGGAGAGGGGAAGCAGCACGCCGAGGTCCGGACCAGTCCAGGGGCGCAACAGGGAGGCGGAGAATAGGTGGTTGTCACGCCCGGAGCCGGATCCGCCTCCGAGGCGGAATGCCCACCCGGCCCCTACCCTGTTAAGTAAAGGTTGTGCGGTTGGAGTCCGCACCTTTGGGGGGGGGGGGTACTGTCACGCCCTGACTCTGGAGACTCTTATTTGTTGAGTCGGGGTGTGATTTTCTATGTTGTGTTGTTATAGGTTCTAGTATGGGTATTTCTATGTTGGCCGGTGTGGTTCCCAATCAGAGGCAGCTGTCGCTCGTTGTCTCTGATTGGGGACCATACTTAGGCAGCCTATTGGCACTAGTGGGTTGTGGGATCTTGTTCCATGTGAGGTTTGTTGTGTGTACCTTAGGACGTCACGTATCGTTGGTTTATTGTTTTGTCGTTATGTTTATTCGTTAAATAAACATGTTTGCATATCACGCTGCGCCTTGGTCCGACCCGTTTATGAACGAACGTGACAGATTTATAAGCGAAGATGCTTGTCATCACTAGGACATGCGCCTCATCCCTAATTTCACTAATGCAATTTCCATTACACATCCTATGTAACAGGCAGGTAAACATACATTTTCCACACACAGAACATGCCTCTCTAACCCTGAAGATTCATCATGCAGCTGTACGCAAAGAAAATAAACATTCTTCCTGGTAACGCCTACATCAGATTCTCAAAGAGAATAGTAGATCCTTATTTTTCTATGGGTTTTATGGCTGTGTAATCGATAGATATTGAGAAAGCATCATGATCACCCCTCAGATTCAATCCCCTCCTAATCATCATCAAGACTAGGCCAAAGTAGGTGCCTGACCAACTGCCATTGTGATAAAAGTATAAACAGAACACTTACTCAGACATCGGGCCATCTCTGCCTCTGGCGTATCTTGCATTGAAAAACTCCTCTTCCTCCTCTTCGTCCTAACAAAGGTAAAATAAAAACACAAGGTAATTTACATCCCACAATTAGTTTATGATATTGGGCAGATATGGCCATAGGTCATGACTCTTACACATTTATTTGAAAGCACTTATTTTAATTTAAAGATACCCCATTCTGTAGAAACTCTTAAACCAGTACTACACACCTTGGTGAGTTCCTGTGCGTTGGCAAGGTTATCCACAGCGATGGCCAAGAAGACGTTGAGTAGTGTATCTGTTCACAGTATGGTCAAGAATCCTAACAGGGGTGGATGAAACTGCAATACATGAATTAGGCTACTATCGGACAGTTCCACAAAACATCTGAACCACGTTTGAAACAAGTGGAATCGCATTAAAGGGATATCCCCTGGGTTGTACTCAGTGCATCTTTTTCCCCTAATAAATCAACCCATGACCCTACAACTACTTTAGGTCTATGCAACAACTTTCAAATAAAAATTAAGATACACGTAAACCTATCTACAATGTGAGCAGAATCTGTCGATTGTGGTTAGCAGGATGTTGAGCAAGGATACAGTTCCCAAACAGGGTGAGCACTATGAAGTATATGGAGGACCACATGCCGTACTGCACTCCTCCTTGGGAGCGAATCCCATTGTACATCACCTCATTCCAGTCCTCACCAGTCAGAATCTAGATTGAAAAATACAAGATCAATATTGATCAGCCCAATAAAATCTGAATGAAAATAATACACAAACGCAAAGTATACAGTGCTTTCGGAAAGTATTCAGACCCCTTGACTTTTTCCACATTTTGTTACGTTACTGCCTTATTCTAAAATTGATTAAATAGTTGTTTTGTTCTCATCAATCTACACACAATACCTTATAATGACAAAGCAAAAAACTGTTTTTAGAATGTGCCTTTTACTGAGAAGTGGCTTCCGTCTGGCCACTCTACCATAAAGGCCTGATTGGTGGAGTGCTGCAGAGATGGTTGTCCTTCTGGAAGGTTCTCCCATCTCCACAGAGGAACTCTGGAGCTCTGTCAGAGTGACCGTCGGGTTCTCGGTCACCTCCCTGACCAAGGCCCTTCTCCCCCAATTGCTCAGTTTGGCCGGATGGCCAGCTCTAGGAAGAGTCTTGGTGGTTCCGACCTCTTCCATTTAAGAATGATGGAGGCCATTGTGTTCTTGGGGACCTTCAATGCTGAAGAAATGTTTTGGTACCCTTCCTCAGATCTGTGCCTCGACACAATCCTGTCTCGGAGCTCTACGGACAATATCTTCGACCTGATGGCTTGGTTTTTGCTCTGACATGCACTGTCAACTGTGGGACCTTATATAGACAGGTGTGTGCCTTTCCAAATCATGTCCAATCAATTGAATTTACCACAGGAGCACTCCAATCAAGTTGTAGAAACATCTCAAGGATGATCAATGGAAACAGGACGCACCTGAGCTCAATTTCGAGTCTCATACCAAAGGGTCTGAATACTTATGTAAATAAGGTATTTATGTTTTTTATGTTTAATACATTTGCAAAATGTATTAAAAAAATCTGTTTTCGCTTTGTCATTATGGGGTATTGTGTGTAGATTGATGAGGGAAAAACATTTTTTATCCATTTTAGAATAAGGCTGTAACGTAACAAAATGTGGAAAGAGTGAAGGGGTCTGAATACTTTCCGAATGCTAACACACAAATAAATTATGGGCCATAATGGGCCATAATATTTATCACATCGGTAACAGGGTTCTTTCTCCCTGCAGAGTTAAAAATGTCAGAATTAGTATTATTTTATTTGTCTCGGAAACCCAGTTTATAGTTTTGATCAAACATTCTTCCATATTTCACAGCTCTGACATTTATGTGCATGTGTGTATGTGTGGGAGGCTAGTAGATGGAGGGGGAGGTGAGCAGTGAGCAGAGTTGTTTAATCTTGGCCCTGGGGGGTTGTGGGAGATATTCCCGGGTAGGTTCTGTGTGTCACCATGGGGCAGTCTGGAGTGTAAGAGCCAAACCTGGAACACTGTCATGATGGCAGCTGGAAATGTGTCAAAGTTGGTAGGAGTGTAATCTTCAAAGATGAACCTAAAGGGAGAGAAAGAATGGATGGGCAGATATGACCGGGGAAGAAGAGGAGGAAGAGGTGGGAAGCGGAGGTGGAAAATGCTATTTTCAACCAGATGTGTAATTTCAGGTCTATCATTCCATTTCCGATGCAGCAAAACAAAACATGGCACAGCTTCAAGCTGCTTCTGAATTAATATTTGTAAATATATACGGAGATATGATGATGGCCAATCCACATCATTAGTCAATTAACAGATCAACTGAAAATACATTCATGGAACCTGGGACTTGCGCATACAAAAACATATTGATATCCTAATATTGGTGAAGCACTGAATCACTATCCTGAGATCAGTGACACTGTATCTAATAAGTGAACCCAAACCCTCTGGTTGTGCTCACCTGCCCCCAAAGAGCTGCATGCCCAGCAGGGCGAAGACGACGATGAAGAGGAAGATGAGGAAGAGCAGACTGATGATGGACTTCATGGAACTCATGAGAGACACAACCAGGTTCCTAAGAGATGCCCAGTACCTGGTCAAGAAAAAAGAAAAAAGGTTCACATACAAAATAGACAGACCTCAACATCTTCCGTTTGCCATTTTAATGTATTTTGGAGAATAATACATTGTACTTACAGCAGTATAACCAATGATGACCCTACATTTACATTTACATTTGAGTCATTTAGCAGACTCTCTTATCCAGAGCGACTTACAGTTAGCGCATTCATCTTAAGATAGCTAGGTGAGACAACCACATCTGACAGTCGTAGTAAGTAAATTTTCCTCAATAGAGTAGTTATCAGACAGGTCAGTGCTAGTAGGAAAAGACAGCAGTAACACTAAAGCTGACCCTACCCTAACCTTTAACCTAGAATGGTAATACATTGTACTTACAGCAGTAACACTAAAGCTGACCCTACCCTTTAACCTAGAATGGTAATACATTGTACTTACACCACTAACACTTACCCTACCCCTAACCCTAGAATTCTAATACATTGTAATTACAGCAGTAAAAATATTGCTGACCCTATCCTAACCCTAACCCTAACCCTAGAATGGTAATACATTATACTTACAGCAGCAACACTAATGCTGACCCTAACCCTCATTCTGGTTGATGTCCCACTCACTTGGTGATCTTAAAGATCCTCAGGAGTCTCAGTGCCCTCAGGACGCTGATGCCAAAGGACATGCCAGGCCGGAAGAAGCCCCACACCACCTCAAAGATGCTGCCAACTATCACCTGCATGGGAGAGACACCACGCAACATTCAAACACCATTATAGAGGTTTAGACAAACCTCTATCATTAAGAACACACATTAATCAGCAATATAGGACAGTCAAAGACTCCAGCCACCCTAGTCATAGACTGTTCTCTCTGCTACCGCATGGCAAGCGGAACCGGAGCGCCAAGTCTAGGTCCAAAATGCTTCTCAACAGCTTCTACCCCCAAGCCATAAGACTCCTGAACAGCTAATCATGGCTACCCGGACTACTTGCACTGCCCCCCACCCCATCTTTTTACGCTGCTGCTACTCTGTTAATTATTTATGCATAGTCACTTTAACTCTACCCACATGTACATATTACCTCAACTACCTCAACTACCTCAACTAGCCGGTGCACCCGCACATTGACTCTGCACCGGTACCCCCCTGTATATAGCCTCCCTACTGTTACTTTATTTTACTTTTGCTCTTTTTTTCTCAACACTTTTTTGTTGTTGTTATTGTTTTATTTTACTTTTTTATAACAAATAAATAAATGCGTTGTTGGTTAAGGGCTGTAAGTAAGCATTTCACGGTAATGTATTCAGCAAATAGCATTTTATTTGATTGGATTTGATTTGAGTATCACATAATAATAGCACTTAATTGTCCATATTGTTAGAAATTAAATGTATTTTTGTTTTTCCTAACTCCAAGACAACACACCTTGATTCACCTGTACAACCATAAGAAAATCTTATGTTGCCACACTTCTACAGTAAGTCTTGAAACCACATACCTGTGGTAATCAAGGTTCACCTTAAGCTAACATGGAGTAAAATGAATGAACTCACTCCGCAATCGAAGCAGTTGAAGGAAGAGTGGAAATAGAGCCGGAAACCCAGGCCATACATCTTTAAGAACATCTCTGCCAAAAAGAGCCCCAGGAAAACAAACTCTGCATAGTCTGAAGAAAGAATAAATCATTATGAATCAAAGACTGGGCAAATGTTCACAGTTTTTTCTCTGTTCAAACCAAGCTATTTAGCTTTCTTTCAGGCTACGTTATAAACTCCGTACAACAGAAGAACCACATCTTCATAGTCTAGAAGGATATTTGAAAGCTGGCCAGATTGCATTGATAGTTGCTACTATAACTGTAAATGCCCTACATAGCCTATACTTAGGACCAGGAGTTTTTTCTGAATGTGCAATCGTTGTTGTAAAAAGGGCTATATAGACACATTTTGATTAATTGATCGGTTGATTGATAGTCCAGCACAGACGTACACAAGAAGGTGGAGAGCCATTTGGGCTGGTTGTGATGTACGATGGCCACACAGATGGTGTTGAGAGCCACCAGGCTGAGGACGGTCCAGTAGAAGGTGTCGGTCTTCACCATGCGCCGCAGTGAGATACGCAGCATACGCTCCTTACGACGTATATACGCTACCGGGCCACGCCGCACTGTACGGATCCGCATACGAGGTGCTCCTGGGGCAGGAAGAATGAGAAGAGAGGTTGAGTAAATAGAAAGAAAGTGAGCGAGAGAAAGGATATGGAGAAAGAAAACGGTCAGGGTTGGAGAGGAGAGAGAAAGGGTGTAGAAAATTATAAATATGTCAAATAGGGGTCAAATACAGTAGATATAGGGGAAAGAGACCAGAATTTAAGTTAGGGAGAAAGACAGTAAGACGCCTAGATATGAGGATCTGGGCTGTGTGTTCCTCTCTCACCTATAGTGGAGATCTCTGCATCCCCAGGAACACCTCTACGCTTAGCATTTTTACTGGTGGCCCGCTTCAGCACTGAATACACACACGACAGAAAATTTGAACAAACAGAGAATGTCTCTAACAGCATAGATAGACTGACATAGAACAACAGATGCTTATAAGCATAATGACACAACAAATTTCACTTGCCAGCCATTTGGTCCATAGGGAACAACAAACTAGTTATAAATAGAGATAATTATATATTAATGGAAGGAAATGGTAATGTTGACATACTAACTTTCAGGGCAAACTGACTGAAATCCTCTGAACAATGAGAGGAAGGAGGAAGAGCCAATTAAATGTGGCTTTATTGTTTGGGACTTTTTGATAGGTTGATTAGGTATGGTGTAAATGAAAGTGTCATATGAACCATTTTCGTTTTCCAAAAAGGAGTGAGACTCACAAAAACATGATACAACAAGACTTTGTTGACAGACGATATAGCCCTACAGGCGTGCGCCAAGCATTTTTCACCTTGCTGTTACCAAAACAACCGCGATGTTCACACAGTAATCAAAGCAAATTAACTTCTTGAGGGTTTTATGGTATATTTTCCTCTGAAAGAGGTTTAGCCTTTTCACTGCCATTTTCAATTGTCTGCAGCAGCTCTAAGCTAATGGAGGTCAAAGAGGAACAAAATGGCTGCCTTTGTTTACAACTGGAGTTTAAAGTGCAGGATGGAGAGAGGCAGGTTGTGGAACAATTGCGGAACATGGTATAGAACATTCAAAAACATTGTACTGTACTGTTGTACGTATAACGAAGTTAAGAAGGTACTGTAAACTCCCTCCACAGCAAGCTTGAAATGTCGCAGATTGAGCTATCGACTTAGATATTTTCTGGTAGCCAACACCGCTGGAACGTTGTCAAGGAGGGCAATCACGTGTGTTGCAAAGCAGAGGATCACTGGTTCAAGCCCAGTAAGGGGCATTTGGACAGTGGAGGAAGCAAAGCTCTTAGCAGCACACTGACTCCCCATTACATAAGGATTTACTGTTGTAAGGGTAGTGAATGTGGGAGGAAAGGACTTCAGCACAATTGAATACACCATTGTGGTGGTGACTCCTCTCAATGAATTGTGTCTTCTGGTTCTTACCATCTAAAGCAGATCTCCCTGAATTCTTGTTCTCCTCAGCCAGCATCACCTCCTCTGAAACATTGGGATGAACACATTTCATTGTCATCCACACGTAGTGAATTCACAGTCCATCATAAAGTGCTCCTGAAACATAAACAGGGCTTTCTCTCTCTCCCTTAGCGCTCTCAGAAGATCGTGAGCAAATCATGGGGCTAACCTGTTTAAATGTAATATTGAAATGATTTTATTTGCATTACAAAGGTGAGTATTTGGGCTGAATGCATAGCGTCGCATAGTGTTGATGCTCTGAGAGAGGGAGAAACTCATCATCAGGTGAGAGCTCATCCAGCGCTCGCCTGGCAGCTAACTTTTCTCTTTCAGGGCCCTGATGACGCCCTGCAGAGAGGGAACACATTGATTTCTATGACTAATGCATACATTCAAACACACACACACGGATACGTGGATGTGCACGCACACACACGAATGAGCGCACACACACGGATGAGTGCACACACACACACGGATGCACACACGCTCACACACATAGATATGCACAGACTCGCACTCACACATTTACACTTGAGTCAATGAGTCCGCATCACCTTCCTCTCAACCTCTACTTGCGTGGGAGAAAGATACTGTAGATTGCCATTATAGCACTGTAGCGTCACAAAGTCACCCTCCATCCATATATTCACCAGGTAGCTCCATCCACATATTCACCAGGTAGCTCCATCACAGCAGAGCCATCTCAAAGGCAACACAGCAGCTAGCAAAATTAACATAATCTACTTCAACCAAATCAACACTTGGATCTTATAATATATTCATTTTTGCATCTTTATCTACTTCAACCAAATCACCACTTGGATCTTATAATATATTAATTTTAGCATCTTACGTAGTTATCTCTCGGTTGGTGGTGGCTGTAAGGTAACAGTACAGTACCTGCTCGGTCTATCCAGGCTCTGTAACCGTTGAGTTCTCTCTCCACCTGCTGTTGACGTCTCAGCTTCATGAAGGCTCTCCTGTTCTCCACCCGCTCCCTCTCTTTGGCAAACTCCCTACACACGCAGGACATGAGGCAATCCATTGTTTCCCCTTCCAAAACCCTCATAAAATCACACACAAACTTGCACGCGCACACACACACACATACATTTTACATATTTAGCAGACGCGCTTATCCAGAGCGACTTACAGGAGCAATTAGGGTTAAATGCCTTGCTCAAGGGCACATCGACAGATTTATTCACCTAGTCGGTTACTGGCACAACGCTCTTAACCACTAAGCTACCTGCCGCCCCATACATGCATACACACACAGCTTTTATTTACTCACCCAGAGAGGACTCCCAACACCAGGTTGAGCACGAAGAATGAGCCGATGATGATGAGAGGAATAAAGTACATCCAATTCCACATAGAGCCCAAGGCATCGTTGGTCTAACGGACGTACAATAGACATGTATAGGGTACATAAATACAGGTACAGACAAACGCTTCACTGCTAAAGAGTTCTATGTAAGAACAAGGGGCTATGCGTTCTCTGGAAATAAAGCACAACGCGGAAGCTGTGCCACAATGCTGTGCATCGGGGACGCATCACACCCGCACATCGTGGGTTATTTCCACAGGACTTCATAGCCCCTCGTTGATTATCCCTTACTTCAATGTCTCTACCTTAAAAATAGTTTTTTTTAAATACTTTGGGTGATCTGTTCTCACATTGTAGAGTACAGCTGTCCATCCCTCCATGGTGATGCACTGGAAGACAGTGAGCACAGCGAACAGGATGTTGTCAAACTGGGTGATGCCGTTGTTGGGGCCAATCCATGACCCAATACAGTCATACTTCTCCGGACACTTCCTCACTCCACACGCAAACTCCACCTCGGTCGTATCCATCGTCTCATTTTCTAACACAGGACAAGGCAGGGGTGGTTAAAGTGTAGGTAGCTTGTTACTTTCTACACATGTACATTTTAGTCATTTAGCAGAAGCTCTTTCTCAGAGCAATTTACAGTAGTGAGTGCATACATTTTCATACTTTTTTCATACTGGTCCCCCGTGGGAATCGAACCCACAATCCTGCTCTACCAACTGAGCTACACAAAACTAGCAACACAGTGTGGCAGCTTTTTCATTGTTTGATTACATTAGCGCCGCATCAGACCTTTTCCTCAAAGGGGCAATCTGCAGTTGGTACATCCAATTTTGACCCTTTAAATGAATTATATATACCCATTGATTCTTGAAGAATATAACTTATAAATACCCCATTAACTTAGTTCAACTGTCGTTGCCCATCTGAACCCAAAATATAACCTTGTTTTACTTAGATCCCGTGTGGCTCAGTTGGTAGAGCATGGCGCTTGCAAGTCGCTCTGGATAAGAGCTTCTGCTAAATGTAAAATATGATACTCCATTGTTTGTAAACAAGGTAATTGAGAACACACACTGTATAGCCTCAAAACATTGTTAAAACAATCATTTTGATATCATGGATGGTCAGTCATGGCATCCATAGCTCTGTCTATGAATTTGAGAGTGGTTACATTTCTCCAGCCTCATCCCTCAGCTGTTTACCAAAACAGTGGTAGGGTTGCCGCTTTGTTTTTGTTTGAAATGCAGATTGCTCTTTAAGAGGGCAATAGGGTTTAGGAGTAGCGGATGTCTAGAGCGTCAACCTTAATTACAACAGGAGAGCTGTGATCCTTCCTCCTTCGAGGACCACTTAGATTAAAAACTGGCACTTGAAAACTGACTGAATCTGTTTCAGCTAACCATCTCAGGGACTGGTCACCAACATCCCAGGGGTCAGTGCTGCTTCGTGAATTGAGGGTTGAGAAATACAAGTTTCTGGAGAGATCATATCTGACTGTGTCAAACCATATTTAATAAAATACTATATTTGGCTTGTGTGATTACAGAGTAATCATTGTTGGATCATGAAAAGGTAGCTAGGCAGCCCAGTTGGGCATACTAAGGGACGGATCGCAATTTACAGAACGGTTACCTGGAGGAAAATGGGGGAGTGTCATGTTCAATTTCAGTCAAGGGGAGGGTTTAGTATATTTAAAATCTAGTGTAATTGATGACATTTCAATATTTCTCAGTGTTTTAGAATTAGTTGCTTATTTGGCTATATATCGATGTGTGTCGATATATATCATCTCTGATTCTCCGCTGGGTGTGCAATATCAAGTGCACCTATAGGCTATTTAGTGTGGTCTCAATCAAATTAGCCTATATGCTATAGGCTACGCAGTGCATGCTCGGAGAAGCACAGAGCAAAGTTATATTTCTAAGATAGCTGCTGGGATGGTGTAAATTAAACTAGGCTGTTTTACACACAGAAATTGATATCCCAACCCTGAGCCCCGGCCTGCTCTGCTCCTGCTTATCTTAAAACGGTTGTGTGTTCTGCCTAACCAATGGCTGTGCTGTGTAGGCCTACGGTGGCAGTTCAGGAGGAGAGTCAAAGGCTTCTACCAAAATCTTGCGCAGACTAGCCTATAGCCTATGTTCTGTTCAGTTTGAGAAGGAGAGCGTGAAGATGAGAAGGAGGACCAGAGGTAAACTTTGATGGCTTGCTACTACTATAATTGGTTTGATTAAAAACAATATGTTTCTTGCCCCTGATGTTTTTATTAAAGATATTGACCTCACAATAAGCCAGAACTTAATGTACATTGGGGTGCTGAAACTTGAAGCAGCAGCCTGTCACGCCCTGGCTCTGGGACTCTGTTATGTTGAGCCAGGGTGTGTAGTTTCTATATGTTTGTGTTCTAGGTTCTTTATCTAGCTCATGTGTTTCTGTGTTGGCCGGGGTGGTTCTCAATCAGAGGCAACGAGTGTCAGCTGTTGCTTGTTGTCTCTGATTGGGAACCATACTTAGGCAGCCTGCTTTCCACAGTGTTTTGTGGTATCTTGTTCCGTGTAGGTTTGTGTTTGTGAACCTGTGGACTTCACGTATCGTTTTGTTGTTTTGTTCGTGTGGGTGAATATAAATAAAAGTATGTTCGCATATCACGCTGAGCCTTGGTCCACTGTGTTTGACGAGTGTGACACAGCCGTGGCACAATCAATCAAAAATGGACAGCTCATGGTGCTGAAAGTAGTCAAATTCTAGTAGGCATAATATATTGCAACAGTCTTAATTTTAATTAGACTTTACTAACAATAAGAGGGTTTTGTATTGGAGCCTATTTCTTCCTATTTAAGGAATAAGAGGTAGACCTACCTGTTTGACAGACGAAATTAGGCTATAGGCTGCTATATCCATAGATTTGTTGGTTAATTCTTCCACCCACCATGCACCCTTTAATTCTTTAGAGTCTAAGACGTTAATGATGGTGCAGGGGGGAGAGCGCGACAGAGAGAAAGAGAGAGAGATTGTCAAATACGGTATAATAGAGATGAGGAGCCTGCGAAAATGGAACACATAGGGGAAGGGAACCTCTTCAAGGGATAGAGGTAGAAGTGGGCAAAGAGGTTTTGGATAGAGAGAGAGTATGACGGAGTGTGGGGTAGTATATGAAATACAGAGAGTGTGAGGGAGACTGGGGTATGTTCCTACCAAGGATGTCAGCAGTAGGTAGACAGGTGTGGTGTAGCTTCCCACTGTAGAACTCCAGGCCGATGATGGCGAACATAAGAATGGCGAAGAACAAGAGCAGACCGATCTGGAGCAGGGGCACCATGGCCTTCATGATGGACTTCAGCACGATCTGCAAGCCTAATGATTAAAAAAACAACACACACACGTGAGAATTAGACATTATAGAAAGTTACATATTGAGGTATTATGACACTGTAAATGCTATTGATATTCTGGTAGATATTGACTGTACTCACTTGGGATCCCAGAGACCAGTTTAAGGGGCCTCAGGACTCTCACCGCCCTCAGGGTCCGCAGATCCACTGGTATGTTCATGTGGGCCCCTGCTGTTGCCAGTATTCTGCACATAGAAACACATGAATGATCAGATTCACAATAAAATACTGAATTAATGTTTTCAAGTGGGATAAACGGTTAATAGGCAGTGTGGTTTATGTATAAGGGGTTTCGGGGGCAGAAGTGGTGTACATTGAATATAATTTACACTGAGTATACCAAACATTAGCAACACCTTCCTAATATTGAGTTGCACCCCCTTTTGCCCTCAGAACAGCCTCAATTCGTTAGGGAATGGACTCGAAAGGTTTCGAAAGCATTCCACAGGGATGCTGGCCCATGTAAATGTATGCTTTCCACTGTTGTGTCAAGTTGGCTGGATGTCCTTTGGGTGGTGGACCATTCTTGATACACACAAGAAATTGTTGTGCGTGAAAAACCCAGCAGTGTTGCAGTTCTTGACACAAACCGGTGCTCCTGGCACCTACTACCATACCCCGTTCAAAGGCACTTTGATATTTTGTCTTGCCCATTCACCCTCTGAATGGCACACATACACAATCCATGTCTCAATTGTTTCAAGGCTATAAAATCCTTATTTAACCTGTCTCCTCCCCTTCATCTACACTGATTGAAGTGAATTTAACAAGTGACCAATAAGGGATCATTGCTTTCACCTGGATTCACCTGGTCAGTCTATGTCATGGAAAGAGTAGGTGTCCTTAATGTTTGTATACTCAGTGTATCTTGATTAGATAAGTATTCAACCCCCTGAGTCAATACATGTTAGAATCACCTTTCGCAGCGATTACACCTGTGAGTCTTTCTGGCTAAGTCTATTGCCATAGATTTTCAAGCCGATTTAAGTCAAAACTGTAACTAGGCCACTCAGGAACATTCAATGTCGTCTTGGTAAGCAACTCCAGTGCATATTTGGCCTTGTGTTTTAGGTTTTTGTCCTGCTGAAAGGTGAATTTGTCTCCCAGTGTCTGTTGGAAGCAGACTGAACCAGGTTTTCCTCTAAGAGTTTGCCTGTGCTTAGCTCTATTCTGTTTCTTTTTATCCTAAAAAACTCCCTAGTCTTTGCTGATGACAAGCATACCCATGATGCAGCCACCACCACGCTTGAAAATATGAAGAGTGGTACTCAGTGATGTGTTGTGTTGGACTTGCCCCAAACGTAACGCTTTCTATTCAGGACACCCATTTTTTGCAGTTTTACTTTAGTGCCTTATTGCAAACAGGATGCATGTTTGGGGAAAATTGTATTCTTTACAAGCTTCCTTCTTTTCACTCTGTCATTTAGGTTAGTATTGTGGAGTAACCACGGTGTTGTTGATCCATCCTCAATTTTGTCCTATCATAGCCATTTGTCACGATCGTCATACAAAGAGGAGGACCAAGGCGCAGCGTTGAAGGCGAACATATTTATTTATAGAATGATCACACGATCAAAACAACAAAACGATGACGTGACAGTCAATGGTAATACACAAACCAAAATACGAACAAGAAACCACCATGAATGAGTGCCAAACGGCTACCTAAGTATGACTCCCAATCAGAGACAACGAGCTACAGCCGTCTCTGATTGGGAGCCACCCTGGCCAACATAGATCTACAAAACCAGAAAGTGAAACCTAGAACACACATAGACTGTACACACCATGGCTCAACATATTAGAGTCCCCAGAGCCAGGGCGTGACAGTACCCCCCCCTAAAGGCGCGGACTCCGACCGCGCCCACCAAATACCACAGGGGAGGGACCGGGTGGGCACTCCGCTTAGGCGGCGGATCCGGGCCTGATCCCCGCTCCCTCTCCAACCCCCCAAAGTACCCCTGGTCCGGTCTGGCCCCGCTGGCCGGAGCTGGACTGCACACTGGTGGAGCGGATTGCTCTAGCTCCGGCGTGAAGCATCTGACCGGTGCCGGACCAGCCACCGGTGGAACAGGCACGGGTCGTGCTGGACTGACGACGCACACCACTGGCTTGGTGGGGGGAGCAGGAACGGGCCGAGCCGGGCTGACGAAGCGCACCACTGACTCGGTGCGGGGAGCAGGAACGGGCCGAGCCGGGCTGACGAAGCGCACCACTGACTTGGTGCGGGGAGCAGGAACGGGCCGAGCCGGGCTGACGAAGCGCACCACTGACTTGGTGCGGGGAGCAGGAACGGGCCGAGCCGGGCTGACGAAGCGCACCACTGACTCGGTGCGGGGAGCAGGAACGGGCCGAGCCGGGCTGACGAAGCGCACCACTGACTCGGTGCGGGGAGCAGGAACGGGCCGAGCCGGGCTGACGAAGCGCACCACTGACTTGGTGCGGGGAGCAGGAACGGGCCGAGCCGGGCTGACGAAGCGCACCACTGACTTGGTGCGGGGAGCAGGAACGGGCCGAGCCGGGCTCACGAAGCGCACCACTGACTTGGTGCGGGGAGCAGGAACGGGCCGAGCCGGGCTGACGAAGCGCACCACTGACTCGGTGCGGGGAGCAGGAACGGGCCGAGCCGGGCTGACGAAGCGCACCACTGACTTGGTGCGGGGAGCAGGAACGGGCCGAGCCGGGCTGACGAAGCGCACCACTGACTTGGTGCGGGGAGCAGGAACGGGCCGAGCCGTACTGGGGACACACACCACTGGTCCTACGCAGGGATCTGGAATGGGCCGGACCGGACTGGTAACACACCCCAGTACCTCTCGCCGTGCCTCTACACCTTCCACCCCCTCTTCGACCAGTGGCCCCCGTAACCTGGCGGCCTCCTCTGCCAACCCGCTGGGCCGCTCTGCCGCGGTCTCCTGCTGGCCCGTCGTCCCCGGCATTAGCCCCCCCCTAAAAAAATTCTGGGCGTCTCTCCTACCCGTGGACCAGGTCTCCATGTCCCTCACCAGCCTTTCGCCCTTCTGCCACAATGTCAAGCCCTTCTCTTCCTCACCCGGCTTGACCCAGTCGAGGAGGCGAAGGAGATCTGCTAGAGATCTCCCTGGCGATGGCTCCTGGACACGCTGCTTGGTCAAATCTTGGTGGTTTCTTCTGTCACGATTGTCATACATAGAGGAGGACCAAGGCGCAGCGTTGAAGGCGAACATATTTATTTATAGAATGATCACACGATCAAAACAACAAAACGATGACGTGACAGTCAATGGTAATACACAAACCAAAATACGAACAAGAAACCACCATGAATGAGTGCCAAACGGCTACCTAAGTATGACTCCCAATCAGAGACAACGAGCTACAGCCGTCTCTGATTGGGAGCCACCTGGCCAACATAGATCTACAAAACCAGAAAGTGAAACCTAGAACACACATAGACTATACACACCCTGGCTCAACATATTAGAGTCCCTAGAGCCAGGGCGTGACACCATTAAACTCTGTAACTGTTTTAAAGTCACCATTGGCCTCATGGTGAAATCCCTGAGCGGTTTCCTTCCTCTCCGGCAACTGAGTTAGGAAGGACACCTGTATCTTTGTAGTAACTGGGTGTATTGATACACCATCCGAAGTGTAATGAATAACTTCACCATGCTCAAAAGGATATTCAATGTCTGCTATAGCCATAGACCGTTTTGCCAACATGAAAGAGAGGAGGATGGCATTGGCATTCAACTAGTCTACACACACACACACACACACAAATCAGTACCATGGACAGTCACATGATATTTAGCAACATTGATTGGACTAAATCGTTTTTGGTATCTTTAAGTTTGTTTTCAGTGTATTAAACTAAGCATATACAGCCTTGTTGATTTGATGATGTTTAAATGTTTAATTTGAAATGGTGCTGGAATAGCGGAAGCAGTGCTCCTGTTGTCTTTGTGCTGACTTGTGGTAACTCAGTGGTTCTAAAGCAGTAGTTGTTTAGTAAACTGTGGAAAACATTAACTTGCTTGACCATGCTGCAGGTCATATAACTGTTTGAATGCAATATTTACTTTGTTGACTTCACCAGGCAGATGTTGCTCTCCGGTTTTGTTATGAAACAAACGTATGTGTAGTTGAATTTATTCTGCCACTGTCTAACTGTTGTCTTTTGGTTGTCACTGCCTTATTGCACATCACGGTTGCGTATGAACGAATGGGTTATAGAGCAAACAACGCAATTAACGCATAGGTTGTAATATGGCTTTTTTACTGACTTGGCTTGGCTTCCTCACTGATTTTACCCAGCCACAGCTACTGGTCAGGAATGCAGCATACAGTACAAGATGTACAGAATATACAGTGTATACAGTACAGAGAGACTGTATATTTGCCTTTCTTTGCCTCCTGTTGGTTGCTGTAAATGGTGTTTTCAATGTTTGTGTGTGTGGGTGGAGGGATGTCAATACGTGCGTGGGTTTTTGAGGGATGTGAGATTTGGTTTGTACTCTGTCTCCTTCCACAAAACTATAGATCCATACTGAATGATGTCTGTGTTCTTACCTACTGATAATGTCTCTCTGGATGTGATGTGGTGAGATGATAATAGATGATAATCAGTGGTGTAGTCAATGATTTATACACTGAGTATACCAAACATTAGGAACACCTTCCTAATATTGAGTTGCACCCCCTTTTGCCCTCAGAACAGCCTCAATTCGTCGGGGCATGGACTCTACAATGTGTCGAAAGCGTTCCACAGGGATGCTGGCCCATGTTGACTCCAACAGTTGTGTTAAGTTGGCTGAATGTCCTTTGGGTGGTGGACCATTCTTGATACACATGGGAAACTGTTGAGCGTGAAAAACCCAGCAGCGTTGCAGTTCTTGACACAAACTGGTGGCACCTACTGCCATATCCCGTAAAATGTTTTGTCTTGCCCATTCACCCTCTGAATGGCACACCTACACAATCCATGTCTCAATTGTCTCAAGGCTCAAAATCCTTATTTAACCTGTCTCCTCCACTTCATCTACACTGATTGAAGTGGATTTATCAAGTGACATCAATAAGGGATCATAGCTTTCACCTGGATTCACCTGGTCAGTCTATGTCATGGAAGGAGCGGGTGTTCTTAATGTTTTGTATACTCAGTGTATATTAGTGTTTTGTTTTACATTGTTTGTTTTTTATTTTT